TTCCATGCAATTTCCCTTCTCTCTCCCTTTCCCTCCCACCTCTCATCCTTGTTTAATGTTGGTCTTCTTCTCATGCTCTTCTTCCCTAGTCTGTTCTTAGTTACTCTCCTTATATCAAAGAAGACATTTGGCATTTGTTTTTTAGGGCTTGGCTAGCTTAATTTTTAACATATATATTTTATACTTTATGTATAAAACTTAAAATCTTCCTTTTAAAATTTAGTAGTTTTTTCCTAGACACTTTAAAGTTGTTTTTCTGTGAATTTTAAGTCTTAAATTTTTTCAATTTGTCTATCACAAAAGAAAAGTACCTATTCTCATTCTTTTCTAGCACTTACATTATATGACCGTTACTGATCTAAGACAAACACATACAAGAAGATTTTCATGACATGGCATGCTTGACTTAAATAACGGTTGAAGAATAAAAAATAAAAATGCATATACATACACAAATATATACAGGATGAGTATTTTTCACCTGAAAATCTGAAATTTTTTTAAAAAAATATATTTATTTTTAAAGTTTTAGGTAAACACAATATCTTTATTTTACATTTATGTGGTGCTGAGGATCAAACCCAGTGCCTTGTGCATGCTAGGTGAGTGCTCTACCACTGAGCCACATATGCCAAAATGCTCTAAATCATGACAATTTTTGAGTACCAACATGACATCACAAGTGGAAAATTCCACACTGTGAAGTTTTTGTTTTAGGCACAAATTACTATTTATAAAATTGCTTTTAGGATGGGTATATGTGAAGTATAAGTAAATTTGAAATTCAGACTTGAGTTTCATCCTCAAGATATCTCATTATGTACATGTAAATATTCCAAAACCTGAAGAAGTCCAAAGAACTTCTGGTCCCAAGCACTTTGGATAAGGATACTTTATATATATGCATAATATATATAATTATATATAATGCATATATATATATATTATATATATAATATTCAATGTATATATTTTCTTCCAAGTAATATAATTATATTTATCAGAGACAAAGTGTTATAACTTATAATGAGATACATACCTGAGTTAAACCAGCACCTGTTTGCATAGAAGATTTTTTTAATAGTCTCACTTCTTTGTTTATGTATCTCAGCATCCCACTAAGAGTAGTAAAATCATTACTCTCAGAACTATCATCCTCTATGGTATATGTGTGAGATTTAAATGAGTCTGACTGGGTATAAGTCAGTTCCTTATGGCTTTCTTCTAATGTTGAAGGCTGTTCTAATTGCATTTTCTTTAAGTCCTGTAGTAATTCTTCAGAAAGATCTTCATTACCATGAGATTTGAAACTAAGATCACTGGCACTAATAGAGCGACGTAGTTTTCTGCACTTGAAAACAGATGTGTGAGAATGTTTAGTAAACTTTGGGTCTTGATTATCAGGCATAATTTCTGGTAGAGGTGTAAAGGGAGCTGGTAGAAACTTGATGTCTTCTACCTTTTCATGTCCAGAAACTCTAGCTTGTAATCTGGTTAATTCTGATTCCTACAGAAAAATTAAACACAGTACATAGAAGGTGCTCAGTATATTTTTGTTAAGTGAATAAACAACCTAGAAAATCAAACTCTTAGAAGTCATCTATGTCAACCTTCATCTCAGAACAGGACTTAAGATCTTGACAGCAACTCTCTTTAAGAATTTTCCAAGGGCTATTTAAACACTCTACTATTTAAGATAGCTTCATTTTGAGACAATTACATATGTTCATTCAAAATATGTCTAAAGTAGCCTATGGAATTCCATAAATACTAGGTTTTCCTTATAGAATTTTTTTTTAGTGTTAATGACAATTTTAATTTCTATTCAAAAATAAAAATCTTACACCTAAAAATTTCTCTGCAAATATATAGAGATACATGGTATACACAAAGACTACCTTCAGAATTTCTAAAAGGAAATAAATATATTATCAGCTATTCTGCTTTTATAAATTAGAATTATTTTGAGAAAAAAATTAGAGGGTCATAATCTTTAATAAATCAATCTTATTAAACATTATATTTCTGTTATTTTCCTATGTCTTTCATTGGGTACTCTGAGCTGTACCAGGATACCGAGAATGAGACCTATACTGCAAAATCAAGAAGCCTAAAGAAAAAAAAAAAAAAAGAAAAAGAAAAAAAGGATGGTATTTTAATTTTAACTAAAAGCTACATAAAATATTAAAATTTTCTATCTTTAATATTGGGGATATTGCTCAGTGGTCAGTGCCCCTGAGTTCAATCCCCAGTAACCCCTCCCCCCTCAAATAATAGTAGCCTCCTGTTTAAATGAATCTCCTTTTTTTATAGGTATATTTAAGATATATATTTTTAAATCACTTTTAATCTGATAGTTTCTATTTTTAAGTTTGTTCCCTAAAAATACTGTCCCTAAAACTGAAACTGTTATAACCACAGTATACAAAACAAAATGAAACTTTTAACTCCCACATTCCAGTTCTTTTAGGACTTTGTACTATTTTATTTAAATAACTTACTTTTAAGTGACTAGAAAGAGTGACAAGTTTTTGTTTTGGTGGGGTCTTTTTTTTTTCTCTTTTTTTTTAGAGAGAAAGAGAGAGAGAAGATTTTTTTTAATATTTATTTTTTAGTTTTCAGTGGACACAACATCTTTATTTTATTTATTTATTTTTTTTATGTGGTGCTGAGGATGGAACCCAGTGCCCCGCGCATGCCAGGCGAGCGCGTTACCGCTTGAGCCACATCCCCAGCCTTGGTGGGGTCTCGTTGTGTAGATCAGTTTGGCCTCAAACTCAAAGTACTCCTGCCTTATCCTTCAAGGGTTTATAGGCATGAGCCACAGTACCCTGCTTTCAAGAATTGTTTTTTTTTTACATTTATTTTTTAGTTGTAGCTGGACACAATACCTTTTATTTTATTTTTATGTGGTGCTGAGGATTGAACCTCGGGTCTCACACATGCTGAGCCACAACCCCAGCTCTTGAGAATTTTTTATAGTAAACCTTAAGTTCACATTTTTTGGCTACAATTAATAAAGTAGTTATAGAGTTGACATAGGATTGTACACAGCTAGAGTTAGGGTATGTTTTCCTGTCATGCGTTATCTTGCAATAATTGAGAAACATTTCTCAGATAAGTAGGAAAACATAACTTTTCAATAAAAGGAAGCATATTGAATATACTAAAAACAATTCACCTTTTCCTTTTTTTTTGTTTTCCCTCTCTCTCTCTTTCTTCCAAGTACTGGGGGTGTTATACCACTAAGCTACATCCCCAGCGCTATTTATTCATTTACATAAATAAATATGTATGTATGTATTTTTATATTGAGACAGGGTTTCACTAAATTGCCAAGGCCAGCCTTGAAACTGTAATCCTACTGCCTCGGCCTTCCAAATTGCTAGGATTACAGGTGTGTGCCACCACATCTGGTTAACCTTTTTCTTAAGACTCAAAGGTCACTGTGAGCTGGCTGTGGTGGTGCACACCTGTAATCATAATGGCTTGGGAGGCTGAGGTAGGAGGATTGTGAATTCAAAGCTAGCCTCAGCAAAAGTGAGGTGCTAAGCAACTCAGTGAGACCCTGTATCTAAATAAAATACAAAATAGGGCTGAGGATGTGGCTCAGTGGTTGAGTGCCTCTGAGTTCAATCCCGGGTAAAACCCCCCCATTCCCCAAAAAAGAAGGTCACTGTGTGAATATTACTGTAGTGTGCCATCACTGTCTTAGCTTTGCCTATGTTCCAACTGCTCTCAAATACTAGCATATATGCTGTCAATGGAACTGCTTCCTATTATTTATAGCTACTTGTACTTGGTCTGTTTCAACACTTCTATTAGATTTTCTTCTTTCTCTTTTATCTTCCAAACTCCTCTTCAGTTTAGACTTTAAAGCCTATTGAGGTTGTTTTTGAGAGCTGTGTCACATAACAAAGGAATTCTATTTTCTGACTGCTTTACTGCCTAATTACAGTACATATTGTAAGATCTCTCTAGGGGCTATGGTTATGGCTCAGTGGCAGAGTGCTTGCCTAGCATGTGTCAGGCACTGGGTTCAATTCTCAGCATTACATATAATAAATAAAATAAAGGTCCATTGACAACAAAACAATGCTTAAAAAAAAAAAAAAAGATCTCTCTATATCTATGGTTCATTTATGAATGGCTACTCCTGACCAAGCATGGTGGCACATCTTATAGTCCCACCTATTTGTGAGGCTGAGTCAAGAGGATCAAAAATTCCAGACCTGGGCAACTCAGCAAGACTCTATCTCAAAATTTAAAAAAAAAAGTTAAAATAAAAAGGGTAGCTCAGTGACAGAGCACATGCCTAGCATGTGAAATGTCCTGGGTTCAATCCCTAGTATCTCCATAACACACATGCAAGGCTATTAAACACAGCCACTATTTTTGCAATTTCCTAAGTAGATAAACTTAAAAATCTTGTAAATGATTAATATCTACAGTCAAACTGCATTAACCTCATTGATAATATTCAGCAAGTAAGCAGAAATAATTACTGTAATAAGGGATTACGATGCAGAATCTTTTAATTTTTTAAGATTGATTTTTCACAATGAAGCTTTCTAATTTTGTATGTTATGCATATGCATCTCCAGAATACTAGGAATGTTAGAGGTTTTTTTTTTTTTTTTTGGTGCTAGGGGTTGAACCCAGGCGTACTCTGAGCTACATCCTCAGCCCTTTTAATATTTTATGTAGAGGACAGGGTCTCACTGAGTTGTTTAGGGCCTCACTGAGTTGCTAAGACTGGCGTTGACACTCATAATCCACCTGCCTCAGCCTCTGGAGCCACTGGGATTACCGGTGTGTGCCACCATGCCCAACAGAATGTTAGCATTTTAATAAAAGTATTAATAGAGTGTTCAGCCTAAACATATTTTTGTTTGGTTTTGTTTTGGTGCTGGGGACCGAAGCAGGGTCTCACATATGCTAAGCACATACTCTACTCCTTGATTATACCTTAAACCCCTAAATATAATTTTAGATTATGTCTATTCAGCTTTCATCTACTACCATAAATATCAACTGTATGACAAAAAAGAATTTAAATGCTCAGGTTAGTACAGAATTAGAAAGATTTCTAACATATTATTTGGTTAAGTTTTTCCATTTCTATAACTTCCATTTGCTATAAAAGTTATTTATTATTTGTTATTTTTTTAAAGGACTTCACTAATAACTCTACCTTATATATTGGCAGTTTTGAACCAATGTTAACTTTTTAATCTCTATGTATTCTATTGATATAAATTTGAAATTCCAGCTAGGTGCAGTGGCACATGCCTGTAATCCCAGTGACTGAGAAGGCTGAGACAGAAGGATTACAAGTTTGAGGTCAACCGTACCAACTTAGCAAGGACCTTGGCAACTTATTGAGACCCTGTCTCAAAATAAAAAATAAAAATAAAGGGCTGGTAAAGTACATCTTTTTTTGGCACCTCCCAAAAAATCAAATTCCAAACTTTCAAGATGAACAAATAAATAACAACAGTAAATAAATAACAACAGGCTACTTTAAAAATTATGTTTAAGTCCACTAAAAAAGTTCTAAGTATAATTTTGTACTTCTACTTTATAAATTTTACAGAAATTTTATTGTTTTTGAAAAATGCTTCAACTTTCTTAGTAAAAAATCCCTCAAACATCATTGTTATTTGTTACATGGGTTTATATTTAAATTATAAAAATTATGGCTGGGGTTGTGGCTCATCAGTAGAGAGCTTGTCTAGGACGTGTGAGGCCCTGGGTTCAATCCTCARCACCACATAAAAATAAATAAATAAAATAAAGGTATTCTGTCAAACTACAACTAAAAAATGTTTGAAAAATATAAAAATAAAAATAAATTATACAAATTATTTCTTTTGGGTAATATGATATATAGCATATTAATAGTTTCTCAAATTTACCTTCTAAATAAATGCTTTTTATTCAAACAGGTCAATAATTGGCCACAAAGTCCTTTACAAACTATAAGAACAGGAAAAAAAGGCCATAAATTTACTTTTTTTTTTTTTTGGTAGTGCTGGAGATTGAACCCAGGACCTTGTGCATGCGAGGCAAGCACTCTAACAACTGAGCCATATCCCAGCCCATAAATTTACTTTTTCATAGATATGTTTCATTACTTAGATGTTTACTTACTTTAATAAGTAATGCTTCATTTGCAGCTTCAATTACTTCATTCCTATCTTGAACTTGTTGATGTAAATTGCTCACAGTGTCTTGAGCTTCTTCTAATTCCAGTTTTGCCTTCTCTAATTGTTCATTTAGCTGCTGAACAGAAGTCTTTTGAGAGTCAGCAGATATTTTCCACTTTGTATGGTTCTCCTGATGTGAAATCATCTACATAGCCCCCAAATTATAAAAATAAAAAAGAATGAAAATAGGGTGGAGTTGGTTTCAACAACATTCTAATACTTGGCTACTACCACTTTTTCTTAAAAGAAAGTAAATTCTGTTTAAATACACAAACATCTAATTTCTCAACAAATAAAATACTAGTAGAAAAAAGGGAGTGAAGGAACACATTGTTTTCCATTTACTTAACAGTTAATCACATGCAATGGATCCTGATTTGAACAATTAAATTATAAAGACATTTTTTTAGATAATTCTAAATTTGAGAATTTATTGGTAATTTATCTAGTATTAAAAAGGTCTTTATTATAATTAATTGTTCAGTTATACAAAACATACTTATTTAAATTTTGACCTTTGCATGTTATATTATCAATGTGTCCCTTTTTTAAATTAGATCTTTATGGTTATACATAGTAGTTGGATTCATCCTGACAAACTCATACATGCATGTAAATCAATTTCAGTTCTTCATCACCCCTTTTCCCTCCCCATTTTTCCTCCCATCCTCCCCTTCTCTCTTCTCCTTCCTCTACTAGACTTCCTTTCATTCATTCATTAATTTGCATTTGATTGGTTCTTTATGTAATCTTATCCTTCCCTCTACCTTTCCTTTATTTTACTCTAGCTTACCATTGGGGAGATAACATTCAACCTTTCTTGAGTTTGGCTAATTTCACTTAGCATAGTCTCCATTTTCATTCATGAAAATACCATGACATCATTCTTTTTAATAACTGAGTAGAACTCCATTGAACATATATATATATATATACAATTTCTTAATCCATTCATCTACTGACAGGCATCTGGGTTGATTCCATAATTTAGCTATTGCAAATAGTGCTACTATAAACTCTGATGTGGCTGCCTCATTCTAGTATGCCGATTTAGAGCTTTTGGGAGAATACCCAGGAGTGGGATAGCTAAGTCATATGATGGTTCCATCCCTAGTTTTTTTTTTTTTTTAACTTTATTTTATTTATTTATTTTTATGTGGTGCTGAGGATCAAACCCAGGCGAGTTGCTCTACCTCTAAGCCATAACCCCAGCCCCACCATCCCTAGTTTTTTGAGTAATCTCCAAACTRCTTTCCAGAGTGGATGAACTAGTGTGCAGTCCCACCAATAATGTTCAAGTGTTTCTCYATAATCTTGCCAGAATTTATTGTTTGTGTTCTTGATCACTGCCATTCTAACTGAAGTAAGATGGTTATAAAGGCATTTTTAAAAAATATTTTTAGTTGTAGATGGACACAATTCCTTTATTTTCTTTCTTTATTTTCTGGGTTTTATGCCTGATGTCCTAGTGTCATTATTAACAACACTGCTTTTCATTCCCTAAAGTATTCCCTTTTTTAGATTAAAGAAGTGGGCAACATATTGATGGATTAAATGAAATTGGTCACAAGTGGATAACTGCTGAACAGTAAACGTAGGAGGATTTGCACTATTTATGCTATGCTAGTTTGAATATCTTTAAAATTTTTCACAATGAAAGTTAAAACAATCTCATTTTTATCTCAAAAAATCAGGAGTTTTGCAATTATTAAGTGACTTTTCCGACAGTTCTGAAGCCTGCATTTTAAAAAAAGAATATTGTTAAAAATTAAGATCTCTTTTTCTAATTATTATGATAATACTGTATCCTCTCAGCTTTACATTCAAATAACACACACTTTAAAAACAAATCTTTGTTGGACTGGGGATATTGCTCAGCAGTACAGTGCCTGCCTATCATGTGTGAGGCCCTAAGTTAATCACCAGCACCACAAAAAATAAATAAATCTTTGTCAGCCATCTAAATGTAGAAAACTATATTATACATTTTTATGACAGACATAAAAATATTAACATCAAATACTAAACAGCAACACTAGAACAAATTTTTACAGCTTATTTTATATAAGCAATTTTTCCTAAATAATTTCAGGTAATTATAAAACTAAAAGTACACAACTGGATAATTACAGATAAAAACAGAATAAAGGTCATATATAAAAGTGTAATGATGAGTGAAGGTCAAACACTTGAGATGAACTAATTATTACTGAGAGTCACTAAACTGAGTAGATAATATCAATTAAATAATTATTTTAAGTCTAATAAAATTCACATTTGTCTCTAAAGACCAAGAGTTATAAGCTCTTGGCCTGAGAACTGGATACAGACCTACCAATCCCTCACAAAAATGTTATCAAATCCCTACCAAAGGAATTTAATACAAATGTATCTGCAACCCTTATTTTATTGAAAAATGTTTTATTAGGACCAAGCTCAAAGAGAAATTTTTTAGATCATATACAAAGATTTTGGGCAATATTTTCAAATGTAGTTTTTAAAAGTTGAAAAATACTAATCAATAATACTTGCTTTGTCCATAAAGGCTCATGATACACTGATAGATTACAAAAGTCCTAACATTGCCTCGCTAGTTTACTATTAGAACAAATGTTGGAAATTACAAAGCACTATAGACTGACATCACATGAAACTGTTTATGTCAGCTATTAAATATTTCCAATTAGTTTTCTGGAAGTACTATTTTAGAATTCATAATAATGATGGGCCAGGCTTTGGTCTAAGAACTTTACTGTATTAATTCATTTAATTCTCACGAAAGTTTTATGAGATAGAACCATTATACCCACTTTAGACAGAAAGGTTAAGTAATTTGTCCAAGGTCATAAATGTGCTTAGCCATAAGCAAGTATTGGACATAGAATGCCTGGTTCAGGAACTCAAGCTCTTAATCTTACAGTATATTAGTTCACTGTATATGTAAAATTGTGTGCGTAGCTATAAGAAATGAAGACCACAGCTAGGCACAGTAGCACACACTTATAGTCCCCCAGCATCTGGGGAGGCCAAGGCAGGAGGATTACTAGTTGAAAGCCAGCCTCAGCAAATTAGCAAGGCCCTAAGCAACTAAGTAAAATCCTATTTCAAAATAAAGAATAAAGGGGCTGGGGTTGTGGTTCAGAGACAGTGCTTGCCTACCATGTGTGAGACACTGAGTTCGATCCTCAGCACCACATAAAAATAAAATAAAAATATTGTGTCTACCTATAACTAAAAAATATTAAAAATAATTTTAAAAACCTCACAATATATTATTCTGTATTGAACACTTAAGAGCTAGATAGACTCATACTTTTTTTTTTTAAAGAGAGAGTGAGAGAGGAGAGAGAGAGAGAGAGAGAGAATTTTTTTTTAATATTTATTTTTTTTAGTTCTCGGCGGATCTTTGTTGGTATGTGGTGCTGAGGATCGAACCCGGGCCGCACGCATGCCAGGCGAGCGCGCTAACGCTTGAGCCACATTCCCAGCCCCAGACTCATACTTTTGTACAGATAGGTCAACCCACTTTAGTGGGAGATATCATAACAAATTAAAATTTTCTTTACCTCCAAATGATAAGCTTCTTTGAGGGATTCTACTTCTGCTGACAATTTCTTGATTTCTGCTTGCATTCTTGCTTCTAAATGAGCTTCACGTACTTGAGAAGCCCCCAATTCTTCAACTAAGTGAATTTCATGTGCTTCCTTAAAAAATGACATATTGAGTAAAGGTTATATAATTTGTTTATCTTGTTAGTATAGCTAAACAAATCCAGTGCATTAATAGAAGCAGTTTAATCTTTATATAAACATACTTCAAAATCAATTAATTAAATGGTACATTTTTGAGACTTTTCAGGGACAACGAGTAAGAAAGTATTAGTGTATCATTTGGTACCATAAGTTCACTAACCAATACTTTCTGTAAAAACAAACTAATAACCACAGCATGCTGGACTTTGGCAGATAATAGTGCCTTCTTAGGTATGACTCTGTATTTTTGCTCACTAGTTGCATTATTTGCTTAATAAGAATGAGGGTTTTTTAATTTTATTTTTTTTAGTTGTAGATGGACACAATACCTTTATTTATTTATTTATTTATTTATTTTTATGTGGTGCTGAGGATCAAACCAAGTGCCTTGTGAGTGCTCTACCACTGAGCCACAATCCCAGCCCATGAGTTGTTGTTATCCAAACTTATTTAATGGTACTTTATACTACCTGTGCTTGTTATTTTAATTAAGCAATTTTATTATACACAGAAGTCCCCCCCTTAAATGAATTAGGTTTTTGCTTTTGATGGTTTTGCTTTCTGTGGTTTCAATAATCTACAGTAAAACCCAGTTCAAAAATACTAAATGGAAAGTTACATAAATAATTTAATACAGACATGGTGGCCCACACCTGTAATCCCAGTGACTCAAGAGGCTGAAGCAGGAAGATGCCAAGATGGAGGCTAGCCTCAGCAATTTTGCAAGACACTAAGCAACTCAGCAAGACTGTGTCAAAATAAAAAATGAAAAGGACTGGGGATATAGCTCAATAAATAAAAAGAAAAGGAAGAGAAGGAAGGAAGGAAGAAAGGAAAGAAGGTAGGTGGCCAGATGTGGTGGTGCATGCCTGTAATTTCAGGAGCTTGGGAGGCTGAGGCAGGAGGATCAAAATGAGCCTGAGCTTAGCAAGACTTCAACCTTCAACCCTGTCTCAAAAAAAAAAAAAAGGCTGGGGATGTGGCTCAGTGGCTAAATGCCCTTGGGTTCAATCCCTGAGAATGAAGGAAGGAAGGAAAAGTTAGTTTTAAATGTAGATGTTCAGAGTGTCATAATGAAATCTGTCATTCTGCTCTATTCAGCTCAGTAGGTGAATCATCACGATATATGCTATATAGCCACCATGTCTGTCTTAAATTGTTTATTGTTTATGCCTGTTAGCTAGTAGCCATCTTGGTTATCATAGTATTTCAGTGCTTATGTATAAGTAACACTTATTTTACTTAATAATGGCCCCAAAATGCCACAAATGCCAAAGATAAGCTGTAAAGTGCTGTATATATAGAGTTTGATACTGTCTGTGACTTTAGGCATCCACTGGGGGTCTTGGAACATATCCCCCAGAAATATTGTATAYAGTATTATAAACACTGAAAACTTTTTTGTGCAAAGTAAATTGTATGTTTTGAAACAATTGCATAAGTGAGTCACACACATTTGGTACACAATTAGAAGCAATCAAGATAGTTGTAAAGGGCTGGGATTATATGGCTCAATGGTAGAGTGCTTGCCTAGCATGTGTGAAGCACTGGGTTCAATTCTCAGCACAATAAATAAATAAATGTCCATCAACATCTAAAAAATATTTTTTAAAAAGATAGTTGTAAGATATTACAGGTAGCACAGGCTGGGGTTGCGGCTCAGTGGCAGAGTGCTTGCCTTGCACATGGGAGGCACTGGGTTTGATCCTCAGTACCACATAAAAATAAATAAACAAAATAAAGATATTGTGTCCATGTATAACTAAGAAAAAATTTTTAAAAATTATTATGGGAAGCACCATAAAAATATAACATACTTTGATTTACAAATATCTTTTTATTCTTTCTCTAAAGAAACCAAAATAAACTTTAGATGATAGAATGAGTATGGTTTATGCAAGAAAGACTAATTCTAATCAAATGACTAATATAAAAAGAACCAATTACTGATTGAGTTATCTATTACATTTTCTGAGTTCTGTATATGAATACTTCTCAGAAGAAGCAGGTGGCAAAGATTTTATCCCATTCTATAGGCTCTCTYTTCACCCTCTTTTTTTCTTTGCTGTAAAGAAGCTTTTTAATTTGATGCCATCCCACTTATTAATTTTTTATTTTAATTCTTAAGTTTTAGAAGTCTGTTAAGTTGGTTCCTGTGCCAACATGTTGGAATGTTGATTTAATCTCACTTCAGTAAGAAAGGCAATATTATCAAGAATATAAATAACAATAAATGTTAGCGAGAATGTAGGGAAAAAGGTACACTCATCATTTTTGGTGGGACTGCAAACTAGTGCAACCATTCTGGAAAACTGTATGGAGACTCTTCAAAACACTAGATATGGAACAACTTCATGACCCAGCTATCTCACTCCTCAGTATATATTCAAATGATTTAAAACTAACATACTACATGATGCAGCCACTCGATGTTTATGGCAGCACAATTCACAATAGCTGAGCTATGAAACAAACTTATGTGCTCTTCAACAGAAGAATGGACAAAGAAAACATGGTATATATACATAATAATACTCAGCCATAAAGAAGAATGACATTATGGTATTTGCCAGTAAATGGGTAGAACTGGAGACTAAAATGMTAAGTGAAATGAGGCAGTCCCCAAAAGTCAGAGGTTGAAGTTTTCTCTGATATGTGGAAGCTAATCCAAAATGGGGAGGTGGAGGGTGAAAAACAAATAAAAGAAAGATCAGTGGAGTACATGAAAGGGAAGGAAGGAAGGGAACAGGAATAGGATAAGGAAAGATAGTGGAATGAATCTGACCTAACTTTCCTTTGTACATATATGAATATACCACTGGTAAATCTCCCACGAATGCATATCCACAAGACACCCCCCCAAAAAAAAAAATCCATAAGTGAATAGCAGAAAGATCAACAGAGGGAAGGGAACAGGGTGAGGGAGGAGGGAAGGGAAAAAGGAAGTACTGGGGACTGAACTGGAACAAATTGTATTCCATGCTTTTACAATTATGTCAAAATAAATCCTAATGTTATGTACAACTAAAAAGAACCAATAAAAATAACATCAAAAAACAAACATATGAATCTACCTTCAGTTTGAGGTTAAAACATAATATTAAAAAGTATTTATATGACTTCTTTTAAAACCCTCTATTCTCTCTGATGGGGAGGATCACAGCTTCTAGGACAGGAATCTCCTATTTCTCCTTTGCTAGTAAAGCAATAAAAATTTTTCCCACCGGGTTATGTGGTGCATACCTGTAATCCCAGTGGCTTGGGAGGCTGAGGCAGGGGGATCACAGCCTTAACAACTTAGTGAGCCCCTAAGCAACTCAGTGAGACCCTGTCTCTAAACAAAATATAAAAAATGGCAGGGGGTGTGGCTCAGTGGTTGAGTGCCCCTGGTTGCAATCCCTGGACCAGAAAAAACTTTTTACCTTTTTTCTCAGAAAAAAAGGCATTTTTAAATATATATATATATGTATATGTACATATGTATATTTATTTATTTAGCATTATTGGGGATTGAACTCAGGGCCCCTGTGCCACTGAATTATATCCTCAATCCTTATTTATTTAGTTAGTTTTGAGAGAAGGTCTCACTAAGTTGCCTAGGCTAGCCTTTCATTTTCAATCTTCCTGCTTCAGTCTCCTAAACAGCTTGAATTAGGTGTATGCCACCGTACTTGGCATTAAAAACACGACTTAAATAATTCCACTTGGGGTGAGGTTGTGGCTCAGTGGTAGAGCACTTGCCTAGCATGTGTGAAGCACTGGGTTCGAATCTCAGCACCACATATGAATAAATAAATAAAATAAAGGTCCCTCAACAACTAAAAAAAAAAAAATTAAAAAGAAAATAATTGCACTTAATTCACTTTTTAAGCAAGCTTATCTTATCAAATAAAAACTAATTTTACTATACTTAAATACTACTGATAAGGTCAGAAATAAGATAAAAGTTGACAGCTTCCCTTTTCCTAACAGACCCCCCAAATATCTGATATATCTCCAATAAAAATTTCCTATATATTCTTTATTAGTTTAATCAGTTAGAAATGTGACTCAGAGCACAGTTAGGTTTTAATCAAAATTAAAGGTAAAAATATTTAAGTTCCTATGCTAAATTAAAATTTTAGAATATCAATAAACACATTTCCTCAAAGYCTAATTAACACAAGTAAATCAATCTAAATACTTTTTTTAATGTAAACATTTTTTTTTTCACAATTTCTTTATTTTGTTTATTTATTTTTTTGGTGCTGAGGATCAAACCCAGGGCTCATACAGGCAAGGCAATCACTCTACCACTGAGCCACAACCCCATCCCCAATCTAAATACTTTTTAAAGACAAGTTGTTAGTCTCATAGTAAATATGAGAAAATATAAAAGCACTTTACCTCCCCAAATGTTCTGAACTGAAGATTTCCAACAATTACCAATTTAGATAAAAGTGGCCATAAATGTAAAAACTTTTACTCAAAAAAGATTTGCTTACTTTTTCTTCAATAGCTCATACWCTCTTGAAAGTCTAAAAGGGCTTTATAACTCAATTTATCAAGAACTTATTAGTTTAGTCCAAACAGTTCTGAAGGACTTACTAGTTATAATTACAAAGTTATAAAAGTATAACAGATAACTTTTTTCCTCTTAAAAATGTGGTAAATTGGTGGAGTGTGGTGATGTGTGCCCGTAATCCCAGTGACTGGGGAGACTGAACAGGGAGAATTGTTTAAGGCCAGCCTTAGCAGCCTAGCAAGGCCCTAAGCAATTTAGTGAGACCCTGTCTCAAAATAAAAATAAATTAGGGCTCAAGATGTGACTCAGTGGTAAAGCACCCCTGGGTTCAATCCATAATAAATAATACCATAATAAATAAATAAATAAATAAATGGTAAAATTGTACAAAACATAAAATTTACCTTCTTAACCACTTTTAAGTGTATAATTTAGTGGTATTAAATATAATCATATTGTTTTGTTTGCACTACTGGTATTTGAATTCAAGGCCTCAGGCATGCTAGGCAAGTGCTCTAGCACTAAACCATTCTCTGTACATTCACATTTTTCTGAAACTTGCTTCATTTTTTGCAAGAACTATATAATACAGTTCAAAGTGTTAAAAATTTTAAAGATCTTTCAGTAATAATGAAACTATTTAGAATAGGGATTACTTTCTCTTTAGAGATTTGCTTTATATCTTCTAGTTCACTGGAGAGCCTTTCTATTTCTCTCTGTGCTTGGACTTGTTGACGACGAGCCTCCACCAATTCTGTTTGAGACGTTTGCTTCTGCTCCTTAGTCAGCCTCAATTCTTGCCCCAAATCTATGCTCTCCTTGTACTGAGTAGCAATATACTGTTCCTGATCTTTCATAACCTGAAAAGCACAAGAAATTTGTAGGTTTCAAAATGAAATACACAATGTACTTCTTATTCTGATTATTTTTTACTAAGTGAAATTTCCCCTCCAAAGTAAATCTCTATAAAATTTAACATATAGTGTGTATTATCCATTGTGAAACTGATATTCAGAAAAGAAATTTTTAATAAGCAAATAGTAAAAGTACAATATAATAAGTCTGAAACTCTTAGAGATTAATTTTGCATGACTTAATATATCAAGCTTTATAATCCTTTACCATTATGAATATAACATTTATGAAAGAATATATATTATACTACAAAGAGAAAAAAGAAGTCAATATTTGATTATTCATGTAGAAATGAAGAATATATTTGCATGGATAATTAAAATCTACCATTAATAGACATTAATAGATCATAAGGTTATGATCTCACTCTTTATAAAGACATGTTATTGGGGCTACTCCTCCCTCTGAAATATTTTTTACATTATTCAATTAAATCCCTCATAAAGTATAGGTTGAGTATCCCTACTATGAAAATCCAAAATCTAAAATATTCTGAAAATGAAAAACTTCCTGAATACTAACATGAAATCACAAGTGGAAAATTCCATGACATTAAACTTTGTTTCAGATACAAATTTATTGAAAATATTATATTAAATTTATCTTCAGGCTATGTGTACAAGGCACTAAGATGTCCCATATATGTATGCAAATATTCCAAAATCAGAAGAAATTCAAAATCCAAAACACTTCTGGTCGCAAGCTTTTTAAATAAGGAATACTCAACCTGTATTGCTTCTTAGAGGGGGGAAAAGAAAAAGAAAAAAAAAAAGAGAAGAAAATTAGTTCTAAATCACCCATGTGAGATAGGTTATACAGTAGGTAAGGACACTTGACTTCAAGGACGAAGAAGGAAAGAAACCAGTACAGATCACTAGGGCTTTGATGTTTGGAATGGAGGCACAGGTTATAAATAAATATAAATGTTATATAAGTATTTTTAGCCCTTCCTTGTTAGAGATCAGACATAATAGAGCTGGTAATAATAGGATTAATAATCATTTTCCCCATCTCTACTGGGGCCTAAACTTGCTTGATTTATATATGTAATTAATTAAACAAATACTTATTCATACTTACTATATGATATGTACAGTTCTAGGTGTTGGGGATACAGGAGTGAATAAAGGAGTCAAAATGGCTACCCTTGGGGCTGGGGTTGTGGCTCAGTGGTAGAGCGCTCTGCCAAGCACGTGCGAGGCCGAGGGTTTGAACCTCAGCACCACATAAAAATAAATAAAATAAAGATATTGTGTCCAAGTACAACTAAAAAAAATATTTTTTTTTAAAAAAATGGCTACCCTTATGAATTTATATGCAAGAGAGAGAGAGAGAGAGAGAGAGAGAGAGAGAGAGAGAGACAGACAGTCCAATACAATAAAGAGTTATATTTGGGGCTGGGGTTGTGGCTCAGAGGAAAAGCACTCGCTTAGCATGCATGAGGCACTGAGTTCAATCCCCAGCATCACATAAAAATTATATAAAGGTATTGTGTCCATCTACAACTAAAGAATAAATATATAAAAAAGAGTTATATCTGAAGATTTAACAGTTGAATATTTAAAAACAARAAAAAGTTACAGACACTAGAAACAAATTCACTTTTTAAAAAGGCAAGTGGGATGAATGGATTTACAAATCAACACACGTGCAAACTGATGATATAAAGTCATCAAACTTCATCTGGTAACAATGTATTTGGCCTTAATAATGAACAATTATCATCTTTTTCCACACTCTCTGGATGGAGTTCCTCAAGTACAAAAAAAGACTCTTACTAATATCTGTATCTTCAAGTCTATTACATGGTAGATTCTCAGTACATATTATAAGCATGTACTGCGGACTGCATGAGAGATAACATGTAAAGGAAAGGTAGGAGATAAAAAGATAAATAAGACATTGTAAACCATTGTAATATTTTTAAAAGTTAAAGAAGAAACTTAAGGCATTTTGTACAAATACATAGCCTAAAAATACTTATGGCACTGTTTCTATATATTAAAGTTAACAGTTTAAAACATAAATATTCATTTCACTCTTTCAAGAATACTTCTTCCTTAGGTGGAAAATAATTTTTGCTTACACTCTCCATTTCTTTCAATCTTTGATTTGTTCTTTCAGTTTCCTTTTTCAGTTGACTTATCTCCTGTTCATTTTGTAGCATTACAAACTCTTTCTCTCGAAGCTGTTCTTTGGCATTTTGCAATTTTTCATTTAAATTTTCTATCTTAATTTTAAACAGATGAGCATTATTAGTGTAATAATGGAAAAAAGGAAACAGAACAATCATAGCTATGTTCTGAATAATTCAAACTTTAAATACTCATATCTAAAACATCAAAAGTAAAGTAAAAAATTATTAAGACAATCATCATTTAGAAATAAGCATATGAATTTTTGTGCTTAATAAGATGCTTATGGGGGCTGGGGTTGTGGMTCAGAGGTACAGCAGTCGCCTAGCACATGAGAGGCACTGGGTTTGATCCTCAGCATTACATAAAAATAAATAAAATAAAATTATTGTGTACAACTACAATTAAAAAAATAGATGCTTATGTGGGGGTTGGGATTGTGGTCCAGTGGTAGAGCACTTGCCTAGCACACATGAGGCACTGAGTTTGATCCTCAGCACCACATAAAAAAATAAAATAAAGGTATTGTGTCCATTTACAACTAAAAAATAAAAATAAAAAGCTTATGTTTACATTTAAAACATATTAAAAAGATAAAAGTTTCAAACATAATTTGTATAAGAAAAAAGTGTACATTAAAACAACAAATGTTACATGACCTTACAAATAATTTTATATATAATATATGCATGAGGTTAAAACATAGAGACAAAGTTGTGGTGGTGTACACCTTTAATCCCAGTGACTTGAAAGGCTGAGGATCACAAGTTTGAGGCCAGCCTAAGCAAGAGCCTGCATTAATATTTAAAAAGAATAAAATGAACTGGGATGTAGCTCAGTGGTAAAGTGACCCCGGGTTCAAATCCCAGTACCTCCAAATCAAACAAAAAAACAAACTCTAAAGAAGAAAAAGTATCCTTCCTATTTTATTCTTCCTTAGAAGCAACCAGTTTCCAGAATTACTTACAAATTCTTCCAGAAATATTTTATTCATATTCAGACATATTATAAGTAGTATGGGGACATATTATAGGATATTAAAAAACATTACACTCAAAATTACATAAAAAGGAGAAAAAAAGAAAAATGTCATCATCTGTAGTTCCAGCTATTCAGAAGGCTGAAGCAGGAAGATCACTTGAACCTAAGAAGTTTCAGACCAGACTGTCTCAAAACAAAACAAAACAAAAAGCTGTTTTATGTGAATGATTGCTTACAGTTTTTTTTTTTTTAAATGAGATGGACATCATTACCCTAAGTACATATATGAAGACACAAATGGTGTGAATATACTTTGTATACAACCAGAGATATGAAAAATTGTGCTCTATATGTGTAATACGAATTGTAATGCATTCTGCTGTCAAATATAACAAATTAGAATAAAAATAATTTTTAAAAAAGTTTGGRCCTTTTATACCTTTATTTTACTTATTTATTTTTATGTGATGCTGAGGATTGAACCTAGTGTCTTACAAGTGCTAGGCAAGCACTCTACTGGTGAGCCACAACCTCAGCCCCAGATTGCTTACAGTTTTAGTGTGTTTCGTTTTTGTTTTCTGCAACACTGAGGATGAACTAACATCCATGTGCATGGTAGACCACATCCCTAGTCCCTTTTAGTCTTTATTTTGAAAAAAGTTCTCACAAAGTTGCCTTGACTAACCTCAAACTTGACATCCTCCTGCCTCAGCTTCCCCAGTAGCTGGAATTATCACTTAGCTAGCCCAAAGTAATTTTTTAAACAATTTAAGATGTGTAAACTTTCAATAATTACCTGTTTGTTGCAATCTTTAAGCTCCAATTCCGATTTCTGCAGATTACCCTCTAATTTAATTATTTTTTGTTCCATTTCTCCTCTGTGTTCTCGAATAGTCATATCCAAATGGGTAACCTAAAAACAGAAGCAATATTAAACTGTTGTTCAATTTTACTCTGATGTGAAATCTATATGCTTAGAATGTGCTTTGGAATTATTTATAGCGGATATAACAAATTGAAACTCATGTCAAACATTTTTTTATATTCATTTTTTAGGTGTAGATGGACACAATACAATGCCTTTATTTTTAGATGGTGCTGAGGATCGAACCCAGGTCCCTCCTGTGCTAGGCAAGTGCTCTTACCGCTGAGCCACAATCTCAGCCCCTAAACATTTTTTTTTAAATAGGAAAAATAATGATTAATTACTAATACTGGGGCTTGAACCCACATATATAATAATAATTATTATTGTTATTGGTAGTGGGGATTGAACTCAGGGGTACTTGACCACTGAGCCACATCCCCAGCCCTATTTTTTGTATTTTATTTAGAGACAGGGTCTCACTGAGTTGCCTATCACCTTGCTTTTGCAGAGGCTATCTTTGAACTTGCGATCCTCCTGTCTCAGCCTCCTGTGCTGCTGGGATCACAGGAGTGTGTCACGGCACCCAGCTTATAATGATTGTTCATAAATAACAAATCAAATGATTAAGACTCCATCTTATGCTGGATAAAAACTGCTAAATGCCTTCCAAATATTTTTGTTCCTCCAACATTTAATTGATAAAATAACTTCTTTTATCCCATTCTCTTCTGATATAGAATAAGATATTAAAACACTCAGAAACTAAGCTAAACTAACCCTTATTCTCAAAAACCAGTTGCTATAAAGACATCAAAATAAAAAAATAATAAATTTCTAACTCAAAAAGCATTTATGTGCAGAGATAAAACAAATATAAAATGCACATTTTACCAAAAATTGGTCACTTCTGAAACCCTACATGATTTGTCATAACAAAAAATTTCATTAAAATATAATTAAGGGCTGGGGTTGTGGCTCAGTCGAGAGTGCTTGCCTCACATGTGTGAAGCACTGGGTTCAATCCTCAGCACCACATAAAAATAAATAAATAAATAAAGGTATCATGTCCATCTACAACTAAAAAAAATATATTAAAATATAATTAAGATGCATGTGTGATGGTGCATGCCTATAATCCCAGCAATTTAGGAGGCTGAGGCAGGAAGATTACAAGTTCAAGGGGGATGTGGGAAAAATGGGAGAAATTTTGATTGGGCAAAGGGAAGGGAGAAAAGGGGAGGGGGCGTGGGGKCAGGAAAGATGGTGGAATGAGATGGACATTATTACCCTAGGTACACGTATGACTGCACATATGGTACAATGCTACATCATGTACAGAGAAATGAAAAGTTGTGTTGCAATTGTGTATAATAAATCAAAATGCATTGTGCTTTCATATATACCTAGTTAAAATAAATTAATTAATTTATTTTAAAAAAAGATTATAAGTTCAAGGCCAGCCTCAGCAATTTAGCAAGGCCTTAAGGCAACTTAGTGAGACTCTTGTCTTAGTGAGACTCTTGTAATTAAATAGTACATAAATAAAATAAAATGCTGGGGATATGACTCAGTGGTTAAAAAATATACGTCTGTGTGTGTGTGTGTGTGTGTGTACACAATTTTAAAAAATCAACCTGAGCTGCTCTTTGCTTTAGCTCCCAATTTCTCTCCTTAAGTGCCTGATCCATTTCAAGGAGTTCTTGCTTTTTGTCTTCAATCTCCATCTTACAGTCTCTGCAATTTATCAAAAAAACAAAACAAAACAAAAAGATCAAAGCAGATAGTAGGAATACTATAGTTTTAAAAAGTTAGGCCAACAGGGTTATTTTGCCTGTAAAGTAAAAGCAAAGAAATATATGTAATTAATACAAATTGAAGGGTTCAAATTAAAGGAATGATGTATAAAGAAAATGACAACACACAGTTAACAAAAAAATGTACTATTATGGACAATTTAAGATAATTGTTAAATAACTCCCAGGGCTCTAAGATTGAATTGATTTAAGAGTTTTTCTTAAAAAAAAAAAAAATCCAGCTAGGTGCAATGCATGCCTATGATCCCAGTGGCTTTGTAGGATGAGGCAGGAGGATAGTAGGTTCAAAGCCAGCCTCAGCAACTTGGTGAGGCCCTGAGCATCTTAATGAGATGCTGTCTCAAAATATAAAAAAAGGGATATTGCTCAGTGGTTAAGCACCCCTGGGTTCAATCCCTGGTCCCTTCCCCCCCCCCCGAAAAAAAATCCATTGTTTTTTCATACATAGATCATGAGTATATTTGAAAATTTTTTACATGTAATAGCGGTGACTTTATTACTATAGAGTGAGATATTTATTCTCAAGTTTCGTATTCCTTGTATGCTAGGCAAGCACTCCACCTGAGCTGTATCCCCAACCCTAACTATTGTATTTCACAGGGGGATTATACTCAAAATGTCTTACATATAATGAAGTACTAAAGTCTAATACAAAACATTTAAAATATAGTTTTAATGAATTCCAGCCTTTCTAAAACATTAGCATATATAATTTTATATTATAAAATGCTTAATATTAATATACTTTTAAGAGAATTTCAACATGGAACTCTTAGTTCTGATATTACAGAGGATGAAAAGGTTGATCTTAAAAATCTTCATATGATCTTCCAGTGAGAAACATGAAACAACGTTAATAAAGATACTGACATTTATTTATTATTTTTTGTGGTACTGGGGATTGAACCCCATGATAAAGGTACTCATTTTTAAAAGCAGATTCTAAAGCTAATTTTATCTTATTGTGGAACTAGGGATTGAACTCAGGGGTCTTATGCATGCTAAGGTAACCATTTCGGCCACCACGCCACACCCCCCAGTCCCTTAAACTAATATTTTAAAAACAATATAAAATTAATTCTAAGGAAATCTTCTTTGAAAAGAGCTGAGCTTATAAAATTAATCTATTAGCTAGAATTTAAGATTTCACTGTTTTAGCCAGGGGTGATGGGGTATGCCTGTAATCCCAAGTATTTTGGAGGCTGAAAGCAGAGGATCTTAAGTTTAAGGCCAGCCTGAACAATTTAGCAAAGCTCTGACTCAAAACAAATAAAGGGCTAGGGAATGTAACTCAGTAGTAGAGAGCTCCTGGTTCTCTATCATCTGGTTAATTTTATGTTTAATTTATTTAAAGACTACTAAACTATTTTCCACGGCAGCTACCATCATTTTAAATGTTCCCACCAGCAATATATGAAGATTCCAATTTCTCTACACACTTACCAACACTTGTTATTTTCTGGTTTTTATTTTTTCTTTCTTTTTTTTAAAAAATGGTTGTCCTACTGGCTATGAAACGGTATCTCACTGTGGTTCTGATTTTCATTTCTAAAGGATTTTGACTTTTATTCTGAATGTTTTGGGAAACCACAGAAAGTTTAAATAGGGAAATAAGATGAGCTAATTAAATGTTTCAAATTATAAATTGAGCAGGGAGCAGTGGTGCACACCTGTAACCCCTGCAAATCAAGAGGCTGAGGCAGGAGGATAGAAAATCCAAAGCCAGCCTCAGCAATTTAGTGAAAACCTATCTTAAAAAAAAAAAAAAAAAAAAGGACTGAGGCTGTAGCTCAGTGGTAAAGTGCCCCTAGGTTCAATCCCTTGTAAACAACAACAAAAAAAGTTATCTATTCTGTGGAAAATAGAAGAATGAGGGAATCCAGAATGTAGGCAGGGAGACCAATTAGGAAGCCACAGCAAGAACAGGTGAGAGATGATAGCTCATGGTAAGGTGGGAAAGAAAAGAGGCCAACAAATCCATGGATTTAAAAATACATTTTACAAACAATGTTGCATAATGACCTGAAAAAAAAGAGATGGAAAGATATAATAATCTTCCAGATTTCTGGTTTGAGCAACTGCATGATACCTAAATAAGGGGGTGCAGCATTACGATGAAATAAATGAGTTGTATTTTGGCCAACATCAAGCCTTAGATGCTTTTTAAAAATATCAAAGTGGAAATAACAAGTTAGTAGTTAGGTATTTAATCTGGAATTTGAGGAAGAGATCAATACTGCAGATATGGGTTTGGAAATGTCTGTCGGATAATATTTAGAGCCATAGGAAATTTATTAAGGATAAGTACATGGAAACAGAATTCTAGGGTATGTTATCTAATTTTTTGGGGTCATCTTGTTCTTTATCTTGTTCTTTATTCCACATTTCACATCTGSTTTGTAATGCTTTTCCTTTTCTGGGTCTATGGGAATGCTTTGGCTGTGGTCTAGCTCTCCACCTCTACTCAGTATACATGAGTGCTAGATAGTATTCTATGCTATTATTGTTAATCATAGTATCACAGTTGGACAGACTTAAATTTAACTCCCTTCTCTAGACCCCACCTGTATTACTTTGGGCATTTAGTTATATATATTTTTCTCAAGACTTCGTCATCTTTTTTTCTTTTTTTAAGAGAGAGACAGAGAGAGAGAATTTTTTTTAAAAGAGAGAGAGAATTTTTTTAGAGAGAGAGAGAGAGAGAGAGAGAGAGAGAGAATATTTTAATATTTTTTTTTTTAGTTTTTGGCAGACACAACATCTTTGTTTGTATGTGGGGCTGAGGATCGAACCCGGGCCGCACGCATGCATGCCAGGCGAGCGCACTACCACTTGAGCCACATCCCCAGCCCAAGAGAGAATTATTTAATATTTATTTTTTAGTTTTCAGTGGACACAACATCTTTATTTTATTTTTTTATGTGGTGCTAAGGATCGAACCCAGTGCCTCACGCATGCCAGGCAAGCGCGTTACCGCTTGAGCCACATCCCCAGCCCAAGACTTCATCATCTTATCTATAMAAAAAGAAAAAAAAAGGTAGAAGTATATATGTTGTAAGGAAATGAGTGAGAACATATATGAAGTCCCTGACACAGTCCTAACATAAAATATGGAGTTAATATAAAGAGTAATACTACTACTAATAATAATTTGCTATTAGCCACTGCTATATGCTTGCCCAACTGTTCCTTTTTTTCCTTCTCTTTGCCACTACAGCCAGTGTAAAATGATCCAAATAAGGGTAGAAGTATTAGCAGCCAATAACAACAGCTGAATCAATTAGATGGAACATGGGATAGTTGACTAGATGGGCCACAGCAAACCAAAGGCAATTAGAAGTTTGGAAACCTAGAATTCAATAATAAATTTTATTGTATGACCCAAGGATTCAGAGTAATAAAAGAAATACCTGTAATTGTGATGTCAGTTCTTTTTTTTTTTTTTTTCAGTTCTTATTATTTAACTTACCTAAGTTCCGCTGTGAGATCCTTTATGGTAGTATATTTTTCCTCCAACGATAACTGAGCTTTCTGTAGTACATCTCTCAATTCCTGCAGTTGTCTTAAAGTACTTTTTAATTCTCCATGAGCATTGTGTAGTTCAGTCTCCAGTGCTTCCCGTTTCTGCAAAGTTTCTGTTAGTTCAGTTTCCGTGTGGTGTTGTAACTTCTCTAACTCCTTCACTATTATGAGAAAAGAATAGCTTTATAACAATATACAAACCATTTTTTTACTAAGAACTTTTAAATAATTATAATTAAGTATCCAGTTTTAAAATATAATAAAAACAAGATTGACTTAAAAAAAAAGAGAATATCCAGTTTTATTCATCTATATGAGGCAAAATACTGAACACTCTTGGTCCCTTCCAGCCCCACCACCTCAAATTCTCATTTTATTCAACTTCTTAAGTACAAATATACAAGGAGCTAAACTCAGTCAACTGTTTGCTTACCAGCACTTGTTTTCCTTTCTAGTTCTATCTTTGTCTGATCTAAGATCATATCTAATTGAGAGAGATGTATGGCTTTATTTTCTCCATCTCGTTTTAGGTGCATTATTTCTTTTTCCATTTTAGACAGTTCTTCTTTGTACTGATCCATCTCAAGCTTTACTTGCCTAATAAAAAACAAACAATAGAACAGGTAATCTGGAAACTTCAAAACCATTAGACTTGTTTCTGACTAAAGAAAGCCTGAAAATTACATAAAGAAAAATATTAGCAAAATGTCTATTGAGAATCTTTTCTTCCATTTGATAGTGGTTGTTTACTTTGGAATCTGCGAGTGAAGAAATGTAAAATAATAAACTACTTCTATTAATTTATTAAAACAAAACAAACAACAACAAAAATACACGTACCAGAACATATTCCTATACCCCATATTTTATGTAGACTTCTCTTAAGATATTTCTGATTGCAAGGCATTTTATTCAGTTTTAAATCATGTGTTTGTGTTTGGTTTCATAAGGAAATTGGTGGGATTAAATAGAGTTGTGAGAATATGGGAACCAACCTACTGCTTTAGTTCTCTGGACCACTTAGCCTAGAGTTTTTCTTATCAACATAAATGTCAAAGGTTGGATCATCAAAAAAGCATCATTGTCTTTTAACTAACCTGAAATTCAGCAGAATCTGATATCCCTTAGATATTATATCCATCATTCTGGTTATTTTTTAAATACAAACATTCTTTTAGGGTTTTTTTAATTTTTAAAATTTGTTCTAATTAGTTATACATGACAGTAGAATGCACTTTGACACATCATATAAACAGTATAACTTCTCATTTTTCTGGTTGTACACAATGTAGAATCACTTTGGTTGTGTAATAATATATGCACATAGGGTAATAATATCCAATTCATTCTACCATGCTTCCTTCCCCTATACTCCCTCTTCCCCCTCCCTTCATTCCTCTCTGTCAAAGTAACTATTCTTCCCTAGTCACCCCCACTTTATTGTGAATTAGCATCTGCATACCAGAGAAAACATTTGGCTTTTGTTTTTTTTGGATTGGCTTATTTTGCTTAGCATGATATTCTCTAGCTCCATCAATTTACTGACACATACCATCATTTCATTCTTTTTTAAGGCTATCTACTCAGAATCTTAACTCACCTATTATATTTTAAAATTTTTCTTTGTGCTCTACATACCACTAAATACAAATTTATTACCTTGTAATATTTAACAAGGCTAGCATTTGACTTAACTTAATAAAACTTCATATGTATTGAGAATATCCAGGGATAGATACTTCACTTAATCTGGAATTTCTATGATCTGACACAGATCATAATRAAGCCAACCAATCAAATTATTCATCATAAAGATCATACTGCTCAGGCTGGAGTTGTAGCTCAGTGGTAGAGCACTCACTTAGCATGTGTGAGGCACTAGGTTGGATCCTCAGCACCACATAAAAAAAAAAGTCCATCAAAAACTACAAAAAAAAAATATATATATATATATATAAAAAGATCAAGGCTGGGGTTGTCGTTCAGTGGTAGAGCGCTCATCTAGCATGTGTGAGGTACTGGGTTCAATCCTCAACACCACATATAAATAAATTTTAAAAATAAAGTCATTGTGTCCATTTACAACTGAAAAATACTTTAAAAAAAAGATCATACTACTCACAGGGGAGCCAAATCAATCATTTTTACTCAGATCTTTATTATTAGAATGATCTTTGTTAGCATATAGAGAAGAAAGATTCCAGGATTGTACAACCTTCCTGCTTTATAGAAGGAACTGAAAGGAGTTGTGGATATAAGCATATTAGTGATTTAAATGACTAACTTAAACTGGGAGGAGGGTGCACACTTGTAATCCCAGTGACTGGGGAGTCTGAGGCAGGAGGGTTAGAGGCCAGCCTCAGCAACTTAGTAAGAGCCTGTCTCTAAATAATAAATAAAAAAGGTCTGGAGATGTAGCTCAGTGGTTAAGTGTCCCTGGGTTCAATTCCAGTACCACAAAAAAAAAAAAAAAGGAGAGAGGGCATCATGGAATTAGACAGTGCTAGAACTGATAGATAGATTAGAAGTCCTGGTTGGGTCAAAGACTTGTTAGAGTATTATAGGGAATGACACATAATTGTCAAATTTTGGAGAAATTGTAGATACTGGAAATAATAAGATCTAGGGCAAACCATGGGAGTGTCTGAGGTTATTAGAGGAGATTATTAGAGGAGAGGATTAAAAAAAAATCAGAAGGCAAGATGTCAGAAGCACCTGTTAGGTGTATACTGAAACCCCTAAGAACTAAACACAGTGGCACATGCCTGTAATCCTGGCACCTCTGGAGGCTGAGGCAGGAGGATCATAAATTCAAGGCTAGCCTGGGCAACTAACTAAAAGAGATACTATCTCAAAAAAAAAAAAAGTGTGTGTGGGGGGATAAAGTGTCTCTGGGTTCAATTCCCAGTTAATACTCCTACCCCTCAAATCCTTTAAGAATCAGGAGTGGTGGTGGAGAGAGCAGCAGTAAGCCAGGTGGCCTGTAAGAATCAGCAACAGTGAGGGATAATATAATATATTGACATTAGGATCAGAGTACACTATTCCAGGCACTGACTGTATGGTACAAGAGCTATGGGTAAAAGTTTTACTTCAGAGAGCTGCAGGGAAAGAAGCAATGTCCTCGGGGAGTATCACGTTTCTGGTACAGCAAGAGAAAAGAAGAGATAGCGAATATAGGAATGCCTTTTTAGATAGACTATGCATTCCAGTCCTTTAGGAATTGGGATGGGGTGAGAAAAAGGAGAATATGTGGAGATCTTTTTGGGAATTCATGGAAGGGATGAGAGTGGACCTGGAAATCTAACATGTCTTGTGGTGTATAAACATTAAGTTATAATGTGATGAGTCTTCATGGACCCAAGGTAAACAACAACAGTAAGGTTGTGTTAATGGGTAGACACCTGTCACTGAGAAAAAGAAGGCTTGAAGGACTATGGTTAGCCATAAACACAATGTGCAGAGGGAATCTGGGGACAAGTTTTTAGTTCTAGCATGTAAATTCACTCTTGACTCCCGTTGGCAGAAGAGTAGACTAATTATGAGTGTATTACTATATGCCAATTCTTGTTGATTTAACAGAAGAGGGTCTGTGGAAGCAGGGTATTGCTTTCAGCTCATGGGTTCCTTTATTGACCAATTAAAATATTGATGCTGGGGCCCAATCCAGTTAAACTAAATCATAATCTTTACATGTAATTTAATCTAAATGTGCGACTCAGGTATCAGTATTTTTTACAAACTGCTTATGTGATTTTAATGTTCAGTCAAGGTTGAGAGACACTGTTTTCTTTTATCGTTACTCCCTCCTTTATACAGTTAAGAGTCTCTGCAAGTCTCTAGGTGAGGAAACTTTGCCTATAACTTTGAATGTTATTCATCATTTAATACAACAGTTGCTGAGTGTGTATGAGACATAAGGACTTAATGCTAGTTGTGCTAATTGTTATACAGAATTCTAAAGTAAACTAGATATGGCCTTTGCCTTAAAGAACTTTCAATATAGCAGAAAAGTTAAGGTATTAAWCTATAATACAAAAAAAGGCATAATGAAGGATATGAGGGAGATAAAAAAATACTATATGAATTCAGATTATGAAGAAATAAATTCTTCAGGCAAATATTTCAGTGGTTACTAATTTTGAAACAGATATTACTGATATAAAAATGGGAAGGTAAGTAAAATGAACATATTCACATTTTACCTGGAAGTACCAGTAAGCTCAATAACTTTCTGCCTTTTCAAATCTGCATCATGAGCAGCTGTTTCACATTTTTCCTCCATTTTTCTCAACTTTTCAGCTGAACTTTCTCTTTGTTTTTGAAGTTCTTGTTCCAGCTTTGATACCTTGTAAAGCAGTTCTCAGTAAGTATTTTAAATTACTGATAAACATTAGTCAAAAGAAAAACACTTTTATAAATATGTAGCCTACCATATTATTCCATTTCAGATGTATTTTTAAAAATCAAAGTAAACTGTGCATTAGAGGGGTGGCCTATAGTCCCAGCTACTTGGTAGGTTAAGTATCATTTGACCTCAGGAACAGGAGGCCAACCTGGGCATAGTAAGACCCCATCTCAAAAATAAACAAGTAAAATTTAAAATAATTTTAAAAATAAAAATAAATGATTAAAAAAACAAAATTATATTGAGCTGGGGTTGTGGCTCAGCGGTAGAGCACTCGCCTAGCACGTGTGGGGCCTTGGGTTCGATCCTTAGCACCACATAAAAATAAATGAACAAAATAAAGGTATTGTGTCCAACTAAAAAATAAATATTAAAAAAAGCAAAATTATAGACCATGAAGCAATGTTTTAAAAAAATACAAAAACATAACTTACTTTTTAGCAATAAAGATACTCTATTCACATGTATCTTAAAAAAGTGGCAACATCATAAACACTAAAATAAGACATAAAACCCCAACAAGACTAGCAGGGAATAGCTCAGTGATAGGATACTTGCCCAGTACATACAAAGTCCTAGTTTCTATCCCCAGAACTGTAAATAAAAAGGAACAAGAATTGACTAAATAGCTAAGTGTAGTGATGCATGACTGTCATCCTACCAACTTGGRAGGTTGAGGCAAGAGGATTTTAAGTTCCAGGAAAACCTGGGGAACTTAGCAAGACCCTGTCTCAAAATAAAATTAAAAGGGCTTGGGGTATAGCTCAGAGGTACAGTGCATGCCTAGCATGTACAAGGTTCTAGGTTTAACTCCTAGCATGGAAAAAGAAAAAAAATAATTTAGTAAATATTCTCCTTCTCACTCTCTACATTTGAAATAATCTCTCTCTCTGTGTGTGTGTGTGTGTGTGTATGTGTTTTCCTTTCTTTCTTCATAAATTGGCTAATTCAGTGAAATATTCCTAATTCCCATTTGACTATAAACTCTATAACCTGCATTTTTCCTGTCTATCTTTTTTTTACAATAAAAGAGGTCATTTTCTACCTATGTAAGTCAAATTGCTTCTTATGTGTTCTGGAATCAATTCCTATCCACATTCTCAGAAACCTCACACTATTGACACTCTTTTCTCCTTCCTGTATCTTCAATCTCTAGTATTTTATTTTCTTCTTTTTATCTTTCCAATCTCTTGTGGTGGTACTGGGAATTGAACCTGGAGCCTCACATAACACTAGTCAAGTACTCTACCACTGAGCTACATTTCTGCCCCCCCCCCTTTTTGAGATAGGTTCCTAGTAAATTACTGAGGCTGGCCTTGAACATGCAGTCCTGYTGCACCTCCTGAATAGTTGGGAATACAGGCAGGTGTCACCACAACCCCAACATTTTATTTTTATTTTCTTAAATAACAGCCCTTAAACATGTTTCCCATTGTAAAAAAAAAAAACTGTCTTTCATACCTATACCTTCCTCCACCTACCACCCTTTCTTTCAGCCCCTGCAAAGCCCAATTTCTATATTACTGTCTCATTTCTCATTTACACCTCAATCTAAAGAAAAACTGTCTGTTCCATATAAACTGCGATTAAATCACCAGTAGCTTCCAAGTTGCCAATTCATCAATGGACTTTTCCTAATGTCCATTTTACTTCCCAGTGATTCCAATAGCCTATGACAATGTCCTTCCTTTCTTCATAAAATATTTACTTTGGCTTCTATTTATCACATCCCTCCGGGATCTGTCCAAGCCAATCTTCTCACTTCTCATTCTGTATTCTGTAATCTGTTATTTCATGTTTTCAATGAACATTTATATGACTGTGGTTCTCAAAGATAACCTTTGCTTTTGACTTTAGTATCCTCCCAGCCTTCCTAAAACCCCTCACAGAACTAAATAACTAAATAATATTAAAACAGCAGTAAGGGCAGAAGGTACAGTTTAATGGTAGAGTGCTTGCCTAGCATGTACAAAGCCCTGGGTTTGATCACAGTACCAACAAAGAATAAACAAACCAAAACAAAAGCAAAACCAAACCAAATACCTCCAGTACTCAGGAAATAGGGAAGGGAAACAAGGAAATCTACCTCCTGAATTCTTGATTAAACATCACACACATAAACACAAGGAATCTAAAGTAATAATCTGAAAGGATCCAACATGAATCAATGTATATATAAAAGAAAACCAGAAAGAAAATTTATACTTAAGAAATTGTTGGATGCAAACTTCTGTAGACTCTTAAAGAAGTTAAAGAAAGGGCTGGGATTGTGGCTCAATGGACCCTGCTCGCTTAGAACATGTGAGGCATTGGGTTTGATCTTCAGCACCACATAAAAATAAATAAAATAAAGGTATTGTGCCCATCTACAACTAAAAATTTTTTTTCTAAAAGAAGAAGTTAAAGAGAACAAAATATTGACTTAAAACAAAGACCAAAGATAATTATCATACAAAGAATTCATATGAGGCCAGGCATAGTGGTGGCTCAGAAGGCTGAGGCAGGGGCAGGAGGATTCTAAGTTCAATGCCAACTTCAGCAAAAGCAAGGCACTAAGCAACTCAGTGACACACTGTCTCTAAATAAAATACAAATAGGGCTAGAGATGTGGCTCAGTGTCCAAGTGCCCCTGAATTTAATCCCAAGTACTGCCCCCACAAAAAAAAAAAAAATTTTTTTCAAATGAACTAGTCAAGTTAAGGGGAAAACAACAACAACAAAAAGAAGAAGCCTATAACATCACTACAGAAATAAAACCACTTTAAGAGGAACAAGAATCATAATCAGTCCTGCCAAAGTCAGAGTGAATTACAAGGATTTAGGTAGTAGGAGTCAAATACCAAGGAGATGAAGAAATATTTCAGGGTGAGGCTATATAGTAGGCTTAGTAAGCAACAGGTCTAGACTTTAATGAAAGGAATGGAAAGTTACAGAAGATGTCTCTAAAAAATAAAACACAGAATACCTGCATGACACACAATTGAATGCACTGAAAGGAGTCTTTAGTTCCACTGGAGGGGCTATCTTAGAAGTTTTCTGTTGCTATAACTGAATACCATATCATATACTGGCTGACTTAAAAAGAATAAAGGTTTATTTTGTTCATGTTTTTGGAGGTGGTTCTGGAGTGGGGAAAGTCCAAAGTCACTATGCTGAAACTGAAGGCCTTCTTACTAATGGGGACTCTGCAGAGTCCCAATGTGGTACAGGGCATCACATTACCATGAAAGGAGAACACAGAAGAAACAGAGCCAAAATGGCTTTTATAACACCCCCCACTCTCGAGATAACTCATCAGTCCATAAGTAGATTCATTCATTCTTGAGGTCTGAGCTCTCATAACTCGATCACTTCTTCTTCTTCTTCTTTTTTTTTTTTTTTTTTTTTTTTTTTGGTATTGGGGATTGAACCCAGGGGAATTTTATCACTGAGCCACATCCCCAGCCCTTTTCTGTATTTTATTTAGAGACAGGATTTTGCTGAGTTGTTTAGGCCTCAACAAGTTTCTGAGGCTGGCTTTGAACTCGAGATCCTCCCAACTCAGCCTCCCAAGAGACTTGGATTTACAGGCATGCATCACTTCATCCAGCTCAATCACTTCTTAAAGGTCCCATCTGGTCCCAACTCTTATCTTACATTTCAACATGTGTTTTGATGGGGGCATTCAAAGCACAGCAGAGGCTGAGGATAAATTTGAAATAATGAAAGATCATCCATTTGACAAAAAACTAATCTTACAAATGTAGTAAGATTACATTGGAGGGCTGGGATTGTGGCTCAGTGGTAGAGTGCTTGCCTAACACTTGCAAGGCCCTGGGCTCAATCCTCAGCACCACATAAAAATAAATAAGTAAGGGTATTGTCTCTAACTAAAAAAATAAAATGTTTTTTTAAAAAAAGATTACATTGCAAAATGTATAAATTTTTCAATTTGTTTATTTCTGCAAATTTTCTTTTGAAAAGAGAAAAAACAAAAGAAATGAAATATCTGTAAAGAATTCTGTGAGGTGAAGAGAGAGAGAGAGCCTACATCTTGGGAGCAAATTTTTATCCCTCACACATCAGATAGAGCACTAATCTCTAAAAAGCTAAACACCAAAAAAAGAAAAAAAAAAAAAAAAAACTCAATCAGGGCGAAGGACCTGAACAGACATTTCTCAGAAGACGATATACAATCAATCAACAAATATATGAGAAAATGTTCATCATCACTAACAATTAGAGAAATGCAAATCAAAACTACTCTAAGATTTCATCTCACTCCAGTCAGAATGGCAGCTATTATGAATACAAACAATAAGTGTTGGCGAGGATGTGGGGAAAAACGTACATACCTACATTGTTGGTGGGACTGCAAATTGGTGCAGCCAATATGGAAAGCAGTGTGGAGATTCCTCTGAAATCTGGGAATGGAACCACCATTTGACCCAGCTATTTCTCTCCTCGGTCTAAACCCAAAGGAATTAAAAACAGTGTACTACAGGGTCACAGCCACACCAATGTTTATAGCAGCACAATTCACAATAGCTAAACTGTGGTACCAACCTAGATGCCCTTCAGTARATAAATGGATAAAAAAAATGTGGCATATATACACAAAGGAATATTACTCAGCAATAWCAGAGAATAAAATCATGGCATTTGCAGGTAAATGGATGGCATTGAAGAAGATAATGCTAAGTGAAGTTAGCCAATCCCCAAAACCAAATGCTGAATGAATGTTTTCTCTGATATAAGGAGACTGATTCATAGTGGGGTAGGGAGGGGGAGCATGGGAGGAATAGATGAACTCTAGACAGGGCAGAGGGGTGAGAGGGAATGGGAAGGGGCATGGGGTGTAGAAATAATGGTGGAATGTGATGGACATCACTATCCAGAGTACATGTATGAAGACACGAACTGGTGTGAATATACTTTGTATATAATAAGAGATAATAAAAAATTGTGCTCTACATGTGAAATATGAATTGTAATGCATTTTGCTGTCATATATAAATAAAAAAATAATAAAAAGAAGAAAAAATAATTCAGATAAATTTGGCAAAGAATGAAAGAAAAAAGGTTAGTACTCTAGTATAATAAATTCTCGAGGGCTCTTTCACTAAAGTAATAACTTTGTTCTTATTTCATTTATTTTTTTATTTTTATTTTTTGCAGTGTTGAGGATCAAACCCAGGGCCTTGTGCATGCAAGGCAAATGCTTCTGTCACTGAGTTACCTCCCCAGTCCCATAACTTATCCTCAGAACTAAGTAGGAAGAGTAGTTTCCTTTGGGAATTTTGTTTTAGTATACTGCTTTGCCATTTCTTTAGAGAATATCACACCATGTGCTGATCCAAAATGTCAACATTAGGAGGAATAATGATCCAGATAGGTAATATATTTGGGTTCAAAAAAAAAAAAAAGAGATTGAGTAGAGGAGTCTGAATTATAACTAAATTGTGGCTGCAGTATTAGATAACAAATATGTGGTGAYAGAATTAGATATTCAGGTCAGATTATGGAGGATTAGAACTTCATTTTTACAATATCAATACAGAGTATTTCTTATCATGTGAAATATTTAAAGTTAAATAACAATTTCTATAACTAAAAATTTGTTAATGATTTTTAAAATTTCTATTTCATAAAATAAAACCATCCAATAATATATACCTGTTTTTCAAGTTTAGTCTGAATATCTTCTAGCTCTCCATTTCTAATTGTCTCTTGCTGTAACATTTGCTGCTGTTGCTGAAGAGTATGCTGTAGAATAACATTTTGCTCAGTGGTCTCTTGAAGACTGTGATTTTTTATCTTTAGCTCTTTCTGCAAACAGTATACCTAACAAATACATATATTTCTCATTACAATGAACTGTTTCAAATAAAAAGCAATAAAATGTCAAATCTGTCTTAATTATCCTCATTTATTAGGTGGAGCAATTGTCATGAGGGTCAATAGTAGTCACAGTTTATTACATAGATGGGTGGGGTTCATTTTTCTGATGGAAAGGTATATTATAAGGACCTGGTTGGTGTCTGGAGATGTATCTTTTAAGATTGTCCTGTGTGATTAGGTTATTTTGGAAGAGGTACTGAAACATGCTTTCTTTCTGGGAGCCTGCAATTATTTTGATACTTACAGGTTGGTCATTATTCATATCTGACCTAACCCATCCCTACCAAAAAAACCAGAAAACTCAGAACTTCGGAATCATAAACAGTCTTCCCTAGGCAGAAAAACTATACCTCTTGTCATATTTCACTGCAATGGAGAGGAATATGTTTTATATGACTCCTCCTAGATGAAGTGAAAAATATAGGTAGCTATGGATTTCTCTACATTTCAGCTAATGCACTTTTTTTGCTTTGTGATAATAAATCACTGCCATGAAGTACTGCAAAAATATTAGTCAATATTTATTATTAGGTTATTGTTGTTATTTATAAAAGACTATTCCAGCAAGGCACCCAGGAATATTCTTGCTCCAAAAAACACATACAAGGAATAACATTATCAGCTGAGAAATTTCACTCATTCACTCCAAATATTTAGTATTTGAATATGCTGGTCTCTAAAACTGATTTAAAAGATATTCTTAAAATTATCTAGTAGCACTGGTATTAAGAAGGGAAAAAACAAAAACGAAAAAAACTGTCCTTTGCCATAATAATCCAAATCCTAAAAACCTGCTAACAGAAATCATTTAAAAAATAATATAAATAACCTAGCATAATTTAAAATATATTTTAAAACATTTTTCACCCTCTCCGACAATAAGGCAAAGTTTTAATTAAAGATGATATATATCAATCTAATTATAAATGATGTGTCCATTTAAAACCATAATTTACAAGACAGTAGTAAATGTAACATTTTATAAAATGAAATTAAGTTTGAAAATCACATTGCATCAATATAATTATGAAAAGATAAATGAAAAAGATAGTACCACAGAGAAAGGTGTACATAAATTTTCTTTGAAAGTTTTCCTATCATTGTTTATGTAATAATTTTTTTTAAATGAAGGGAAACAAAGCTATTCCTTTAAAGCAAAGACTCTTTCCAGAAGAAAGGAATTTTAATTCCTTGCAAGACATAGCACAAGAGAATCATGACATGGTTCTTTTTTTTTTTTTTTTTTAATTATCCAGCCGATGAACACTCAGAAGCATCATAAAGGACTTAGGAACCACATATTCTTTGCTCATGATGAGAAAGAAGCTCTTTTAAAATTTCAAGCTTCTTTATATAATGATATTGGAAACCTAGAATAATCTTAATATTACAGGCAACTGGCTAATTTCTAATTCTGATTTTAATACTCATTTTTATGCTAATCCATTTTACTTAAGTCTGCCTGAAAATAATGTAGTGCAAATATTCACAAGTATTATCTATTTATTTTCTTTTTCTTTCTTCTTCTTTTTTTAAATTTCTTTTCTTTTTGTTTTTTTGTAGTTGTGTATGGACAGCATGTCTTTATTTTATTTGTATGCGGAGCTGAGAATCAAATCCCGTGCCTCACACATGCTAGGCAAGCACTCTGCCACTGTGCTGCAGCCCCATCCCTACCTGTTTTCTTTATCAGCTCCTGACAAACTAAAGATCACACTTCTGTAGTGGTTTATTTTATATCAAACCAATGTCCCTACAAAAAAAGTTTAAATATGTTTTTTTCTTTACTGGAACATCCTGTCTCACACTTACTTTCCTATTTAAAGAGATAATGGGCAAAATATTTAAATATGATAAAACAGAAGAAAAAAAATAAGATCTAACTCAAAACACCAAGAAAGTCACATCATATAACAACAAATTTTATTTTATTCAGTAATCTAGTCACTGGCAAAACTTCAATTATAGGGCTGGATTTGTGGCTCATGCTTGCCTTGCATACATGGGGCACTGGGCTCAATCCTCAGCACCACATAAATAAAAAAAGATATTGTGTCCTACGATCAAAAAAAAAATTTAAAAATATATACGTTGATGTATATAATGTTAGCTGTATCCAAATAATAATTTACAATATTATCCATCAATAAATAAAAATAAATAAAGATATTTTATAACATTTCATTGTACCGTACTTTAACTTCTAGATACCTTGACTTTAAAGTAAATATAGGGGAAAAGAACAAAAAAAAAATTAAAAAAAAAGAAAAAGTAAATATAGGGGCTGGGCATGGTGGTACATGCCTGTAATCCCAGTGACTAGGGAGACTGATGTAGGAGAGAATCATAAGTTCAACAATATCTCAGCAACTTAGTGAGGCCCTAAGCAACTTAGCAAGACTGAGGAACAAAAATAAAATAGAAAAATTCTGAATTCTTTCGACATAATAAGCAAAGTGCTAGACATTAAGGATACAGAGAGAAGATAACTCAAGGAAAGATCTTTAATCTATTACCTGAGAAACTTATTTCAATATAGAAAGTTTAATTTCTAAATCTAATTCTCTTTTCAGGGGGCGGAATTGAACTCGGGGCACTCAACCACTGAACCACATCCACAGCTCTTTCTTGTATTTTATTTAAAGACAGGGTYTCACTGAGTTGCTTAGTGCCCCRCTTTTGCTGAGGCTGGCTTTGAACTCATAATCCTCCTGCCTCAGCTCCCCAAGATGCTGGGATTGTAGGCATGTGCCACAGCACCCAGCTCTAAATCTAATTCTTAATTCTTCAGACAATGAGAAGAAACAAAAACAAAATAGAAAAATTTTGAATAATTTCACTCTAAATCTAAATATTACTTATTTTATATTAGATGTTATTTATTTTATATTAGAATTGCTCTGTGATATTAGTAATTTACCTGATTCTCTAAACAATAAATAATTAGAATTTTAAGAGAAAATATACATATATAATATTTTGTTTTTCAGTTGTAGTTGGACACAATACCTTTATTTTATTTATTTATTTTCATGTGGTGCTGAGGATMGAACCCAGGGCTTTGCACATGCTAGGCAAGCACGTTACCACTGAGCCACAACATATATATATATATATATATATATATATATATATATATATATATATATATATTTTATATTTATTTTTTAGTTGTAGTTGGATACAATACCTTTTTATTTATTTATTTATTTATTTTTATGTGGTGCTGAGGATTGAACCCAGGGCCTTGTACGTGCTAGGCAAGCACTCTACCACTGAGCCATAACACCAGCCCATGGTTTTATATTTTAAGTTGCACTGAAATAAAGGTTGTTCTTTAAAGAATATAAAATTTTGAATGTACATTTTAATATCAGCTACGTAAGGATATAGTATATTAGGGGCTAGGGATATAGCTTAGTTGGTAGAGTGCTTGCCTTACATGCACAAGGCCCTGGGTTCAATCCCCAAAACCACTAAGAAAAAAAAAATACACCATAAAGTATCTTAAAAATAACTCAAAGAGGCCGGTCATGGTGGCACATGCCTGTAATCCTAGCAGCTGGGAGGATGAGATAGGAGGACTGCAAAGCCAGCCTCAGCAAAAGCAAGGCGCTAAGAAATTCAGTTGAGACCCTATCTCTAAATAAAATACAAAATAGGGCTGGGGATGCAGCTCAGTGAGCAAATGCCCTCTGTAGTTTAATCCCTGGTACCAAAAATAAGTAAATAAAACTTAAAGAAATCACATGAAAATTGTGCTACATATAAAGGAAATAACTTACCTCTTCAGATTTCTTCTTCAGCTGTTTTTCAAACTTTTCCTTATTTCCTTCCAATTGATTCAAATGCAAGGCAAGCTCTTCCTTACAAATTTCTAATGCTGAATCTAGTTGTCTAACCTAAGCAAGGAAAAGGGAAGGAGAAAAAAAAAAAAAAAAGAGGAAAATCATCTAATATAATGAATGCTTATTACACACTCAATATTTTACAGATTTATCTCCTAAAGTTTACCTCACTGCTTCAAACAGTAAATATACAGTCATAGTTAGAATATAAAATGTTATTACAGAAGAGATAATATTGAGAAAACTAATTCTTTGTAAGAAAACAAAAGGGAAATCAGAAAATGGAATACTGAARAATAAAGAAGTAGACATTCTAGGAAATAGACAAATAGAGGACATTCTAGAAAAAGGAAGTATTCAGAGAGGAAGGCACTGTGAAAGGGAATGGAGAAGCTGGAAGGAGGTTAGAGTTATCAAGAGTATAAAATTGTAGGACATGGTCATTGAATAATAAGAATGATAAGATAAACTGGAGCCAACTGTCAAGAATCTTCAAGTCAAACACTTAAAAACATTTTCTTAAAAAGGTAAAGCAGTCTTTAAGCACATTTTTTAAAGCTGTAGACGGACACAATATCTTTATTTATTTTTATTTATTTTTTTATGTGGTGCTGAGGATCAAACCCAATGCCTCACACATGCAAGGTAAGCGCTCAAGCAAGCCCTCAACCACCAAGCTATAACCCTGGCCCCTAAGCACACATTTTAAACCCTCTTAAACAAGAAAAATAGCAAAGTAAGAACCAATTTACAAATCAGTATATTGTTAATGCTGTTAAGATAATATTTTGAAAAGCTGACATTAATAAGTATATGAAAATATTTCATTCAAGCTCCTCAATTTGTACATATGTTCCATATCCCATCTATTAATAATATTCTTATCTTAATCCTTTCTTTTCCTTGTTGTAATTCTGAGCTTCTGGAAATGGTTTTTCTTTTTTCCTTTTTAAAAAAATTCTGTCAGAGGGCTGGGGTTGTGGCTCAGTGGTAGAGTGCTCACCTAGCATGCACAAGGCACCGGGTTCAATCCTCAGCACCACATAAATGTAAAATAAAGATATTGTATCCACCTAAAGCTTAAGAATAAATATATATTTTTTTAAATTCTGGCAGAAAATTGACCTGAGGAGTGTTTTTTTCTCTTACTGCTAGTAACATTCAAGGAGGCAGCCTTCAAAGTGTCAAAGAAATCTCAACAAGACAAGGATAAAAAGAAAAAAATGTTCCACTTGCAGATATTAATCTCCATCATGAAATTATCCTTGCAACTCTTGTTTCTATTTTTTTTAATTTTTAATTTATTTTATTTATTTATTTATTATTAGTTGTTCAAAACATTACAAAGCTCTTGACATATCATATTTCATACATTTGATTCAAGCAGATTATGAACTCCCATTTTTACCCTGTATACATATTGCAGATTCACATCGGTTACACATCCACTTTTTTACATACTGCCATACTAGTGTCTGTTGTATTCTGCTGCCCTTCCTATCCTCTACTATCCCCCCGCAACTCTTATTTCTAAAAGGGGAATCTTGAACTGGGAATGGTGGAACATGGCTATAATCCCAGTTACCTAGGAAGGTGAAGTAGGAGAAGCCCCAGTTCAGTTGGGTTCATTTGCCAGCCTGGGCAACTGATCAAAAGTTTATCTCAAAAAAAAAAAAAAAAAAGGGTTGGGGAATGTAGCACTAGGGATGTAGCATAGTGGTGGGATAACCCTAGATTCAATTGGTTTGACCCTTGTTAAAAAGTTTTAATGCTTCAATGGGTTATATCCAATTGAAATATAGATTTTTAACTCAGTAATAGGTTAAGGACTTGGGGGAGATAAGGGAAATACTTACAGATCAAAATTTAAAAAGGCACTCACTCTCAGGGTCACACAAATACTGGCTCTTTATGTGTATAATCCTAAGAATGTCTCCTTAAATTTTGCACTAATGGCATCTCATTTGATTTACCTTAGTTCCAGGTCTGCAGCATAGCCAGATATTCTGCAAGTCTAACAAGTTCCCAGGTGATGCTGATGCTACTAGTCCATAAACCATACTTATAGTAGTAGTGTTATAAAGAACATTTTCAAAACACTGGGGAAATTTCGTTATGAACTATATTGAATGATGTTGCTGAATTTATGACCTTCTTTAAGGTGTAGTGTGACCCCATAACAAAAAGTTTCTGCTCATGGAAGATGCATGTTTATGTATTCAGGAAAATTAAAAGTATTATGACATGTACAACCTTGTCTCAGGTGGCTGGCAAAAAAGAAGTATTTGTGTAGGAGGAGGTAGGTGTACACACAAGCATGCATGTATGTGTGCATAGAGAGAAATGAAGTGAGTGTACCTAGAGTATAATGGACAATGAATCTGGATGAAAGGTACACAGATGCTCCCTGTAGTAGTATTTCAAATTTTTTGAGGGTTTGAAATTTTAAAAATATATTTAAATTAATAAATTAATTAAAATTAATAATAAACAAATTTTGATGGGCTTTCTGATTTAATCAGAGCTTGAGAGTCTGAATCACATATGAATACACTGTGCACTGTATATGCATCCCTTGCAAACATACACATACACGAATGAACGAAATCAAAACATACTGACAGATATACATGTATATAAAGGCATGAAGCCAAAGAAACTTCTCAAATACACCATCTGGGGACAAGTAGGTAGGGCTTTAGGCTGTATATCTTCAACAACAGCAATTAAGCTCTTCTGTTTATTTTTCCACTTAAGATTTTTTTTTTTTTGAGGGAGCAGGGAAAAAACCCAGAGTAGAAAATAAACAGAAAACAAGAAAAATACCTTAATAACTCCCTTACTTTATTTATTTATTTTTGGTACTGGGGATTGAATCCACATCTCATGCATGTTAGGCAAGTGGTCTAAGGCTGAGCTACATTCCCAGCCTCCAAACAACAGAAAATAAATGAACAAAATCTTAAGAAGTACTGTATCAATTTTCTGTTTAAGAGGCAACACAATTTGCTTGATTTATTGGTCTCTTGTTACCTGTTTAGAATTTTATCATCAACTATTTAGCTATCATTAATCATAATTTTATAATTGATACAACTTTAAATTCATCCTCTTAACTTTCCTGTATATAGAAAACTCATAGTACTTCCTTGCAGAGAACAACTGAGGCATGCAAGGGGATATAGACAAAAATCATAAAAGGAATAATGACATAATCAGGAAAAGTAGGCTTCATATTTCTGTTTTGATGCTACAGATAATAGAGGTTAAGAATCATTTAAGTATAACTTGAATCATGGAAATTCTGCTTCTGTATTTCCTTCTTATTTTGATTTTTTTACCCAAACAGCAAACCTGTTAAAGGTATTAAGGGAATAAAATACAGCATCAGATTTCATTCCCTTACTAATTTTCTTTCCATCACATACCTGGCTTGAAATATATGGAAATACTTTACTAGATAACTGCCTAGGTGTTTAGGTAGTTTAATGAAGTCGCTATTTTTTTTTTTTTTTGGTGGGGGGATTATTTCATGAAATAATTTCTGTCCTATCACCTTTATATACTAAAGATTTTTTTTTTTTTTGGTACCAAGAATTGAACCCAGGGGTGCTTAACCATTGAACCACATAAATAGCCCTTTTAATATTTTAATTAGAGACACGGTCTCTCACTAAGTTGCTTAGAGCCTTGCTAAGTTGCTGAGGCTGGCCTTGAACTTGCAATTCTCCTGTGCCTAACTACTAATGATTTTTCAATGTTAATGAACTTTGAGATTTTTCTTACATGAGGAAATAAATTGAGATGGCATTTACTATTAAAGAATTGAGAATGTCATAGGAATAGTTATGAATAAGCATAATTATACTTACATGGGCATACAGTCACAAAATGAACTAAAAACAAAACACCAAGAAAAAGTAAATAATGTATTTTTTAAAACAATATGATAGAATAAGGTAGCAGTATATTTGGACATATCAAATTTGAACCTCTAAAAAATGCAAAGGAGAAAATATTGAATATATAAGAGTTTTTCCCATTATCCACAGAGGATATATTTTAAGAACCACAGATAGTACTAAATCCTATATATACTATTTTTTCCTGTATATAAATACTCCAATGATCTCAACTAAGCACTTATCAGGCAGTATGGCTGTAACATTTGTAGTTTAAGGTACTTCAGTAAACCAGCATAAATTTCTTTTTCCTTCKTTAAAATTTCACACATAGATTTGTCTTTACCATAAATCTTAGCAACTTCAGCATATAATATTTTTCCATTTCTTATTAAATCCAGAACTTTCACCTTTTCCCTTAAAGGAGAACTTTATACCTTAGTTTGGGCAAATCTGAATTGCCAACATCACTACTTTCATAGATTACGATCACTATTAAATAAAGTAAGAGCTACTTAAACATAAGCACTATAATACTAGTTCATCTTATAGCACAGATGGCTCCTAAGTGATTAATGGGCAGTTAGTACAAACTAAGTGGATACAATGAGAAAGAGACAATGAAACAGATGGGGACAAATACAAGATTTCATCATACTACTCAGAATAATGCAAAATGTAAAACTCATGAATTGTCTCTCAATTTTTCTAATATTTTTGAACTGCAGTTGACTACATGTAACTGAAACCATGGAAAGTGAAATCACAAATGAGATGATACTGTATAATAATTAGTTATTAAATTTTGAACTTAGCATATGCTAAGCAATTTATATATCTAGTTTTGTTTAATACATTGCTATTCTTCTGAGGTGTTGTTATCCCTATCTTAGAGAGGAAAAAATTAAATTTCAGATAGCTTAAATAATCTCAAACTAAGGCATCTTGAGGCCAAAAGCGAAACCCAAGGTAATTCAGCAAACTGGTCCATGTTTTTAATCATTAAGATATACTAGCCACAAATCCATATTTTAGCTGAAAATTATGGATTTATCACTTAATTAACCTTACAGCAGAACTGGTAAAAAGAAGCAAAACTAGATTTACTTGCTTTGTTAACTCTTTACTGGTAATGCTAATAAGTTGCAATTATAGCTAAAGTTAAAAGACTTTTTTTTGTGTGTGTGGAGTTGGGGATTGAACCCAGGGCCTTGTGAATATGAGGCATGAGGCAAGCACTCTACCAAGTGAGCTATTCCCAGCCCAAAAGACAATTTTTTAATGGTTCAGAAAATCATAGGACCAAATAGGCTAGATAATCCATAAATCACATTATCAACTATCAAATGATTAAGATTAAAATTCAATGTAAAGAAAATATGCTGCTGGGCATAGTGGTGCACTCCTCTAATTCCAGCAACTCAGGAGGCAGAGGTAGAATTGTAAATTCCAGGTCAGTCTCAGCAACTTAGTGAGAACCCCATCAACTTAGCAAGACCCTGTCTCAAAAAAAAAAAAAAAAAAAGAATGAGGGATATAGCTCAATGCTAAATCACCCTGGGTCCAATACTCAATACTAGAAAAGAAAGAAAGTAAACATAACAACAGAAACAAAGTTCACTGAATCAAGTCAAATCTTCAACAATTAATCAACATTTATGCATATAATTTTTATAATTTATGTGTGAACTGTCTTCAATAAGAAAAACAAAAAGTATTAGCATACTAGCCTTGATTGTTTCTTCAGATACTTGATTCTGTAATGCTTTCAAAGCTTCATCTTTCTTCATATTTTCCTTTTCCATTTCCTGAAAATGGGAGGTGGGGAGGTGTGGGGGGAGAAGTAGGAAAAACATAGTAATATGAGTAAACATTTTTACATTTGTAAAGGTTATTACACAAGTGATTTGATTAGAATTAACATATGTCATAGAAAGATAAAACTATTAATACTTTTATAAAGATGACTTTACCCCTTTGCTTTCCGTCAAGAGTCTATCTAGTGATTCAAGATGATGCTGTTTACATATTATATCTTGTTGCAACATCGACATAGTCTTTTCTTGTTCTTTAAATTGTTGGTCTTTTTTCTCTAGTTGAGCTTCAAGCTAAACATAAAATCAGGATTAATTTTCATATTATATTTYTAAAATGTTTCAAACATTTTCTCCTATTAAAAAAACGAAATGAATGGTTAGAGATGTAGCTCAGTGGTAGACTGTTCCCCTAGCATTTATGAGACTCTGGGTTCAATCCCCAATAATGAGATGCACATTTTCAATTTCAGTAGGTATTTCTTTTCAAAGTGAATCAAGATTTACACATTCATTAGACGTATGTAAGATTTCTCACTCCCCACAACTTCACCTATAATTGGCATCATCCAAGTTCAAAAAAACTTGGAACAAAATATGAAATTACTCAATATGCATATATTTATATACATATATTATGTAGCTATACACAAATAAATAAAAGATGTTATATCTAGTGATCTATATATATCACACATCCATCTATCCATACAATAAGAATATGGCAGCCACAGGATTAACAGGAATATATAAAACCAAAGAATTCTGAAATGAAAATGAGCAAATGAAAACAACAAAAGGACACATCAGAATTAGAGACTTTTTAAGCAATTTAAGATAATATTGAAAAAGTAGTATTTGCAAGTTAAACTTCCTAGTAAGCAAACAAGGAAAATAAATTCTGGATCCTATTAAATAAGGAGAAGGAAATTTTTAAAAAGAGGGTTGAAATTAACTCCAATGGAAATTTCAAATATAATGTTTTCCTAGAATTTCTGCCACTCTCATATTAATCACTGAAGAAACCCTCAGGGATGAACTCATTTGAAAGATATTTTTTATCTTCTAAATCAGTAATCCACTTTTTAAGGACCTATTATAAAATAATTTAAAATATGGAAAACAGCTTTACAATAAAGTTGACAAAATATTAAGTCATCATTCTGAACAGGAACAACTCAAATGGCAACTATTCTATAAAATGAAGCTATTAAAAATAATGTTTATATTGGGTGCGGTGGTACATGCCTGTAATCCCAGCAGATTGGGGGGCTAAGGCAGGAGGATCATGAGTTCAAAGCCAGCCTCAGCAAAATCGAGGTGCTAAGTAATTCAGTGAAACCCTGTCTCTAAATAAAATACAAAAAATAGGGCTGAGGCTCTGGGATTGTGGCTCAGCAATAGAGCACGCCTAGCATGTGTAAGGCATTGGGTTCCAGCCTCAGCACCACATAAAAATAAATAAATAAATAGGGCTGGGGATGTGGCTCAGTGGTCAAGTGTCCCTGAGTTCAATCCCCAGAAGCAAAATATATGCGTGTGTGTGTGTGTGTGTGTGTGTGTGTGTGTGTGTGTGTGTTCCTCGAAGACTAGGAATAGTCTTCACTATATGACCTAGCTATATGACTCCTCAGTATTCATCCTAAAAAATTAAAGTTGTCATAGTATAATGATACAAGTATACCCATTTTTGTGGCAGCCTAGGCGTCCACCAACAGATGAATGGATAAAGAAAATGTGGTATATGTATATATACAATGAAGAAAAATGAAAGTAAGAACATGAACGGAAATTGAAAACATTGTGATAACCAAAATAAGCCACTCTCAGAAGGTCAAGAGTCATATAGTTTTCTTTCATACGTGGAAATTAGGGAGAAAAAAGGAAAAGAAAGGTTGTAGGGGCAGAATCTCATGAAAATCAAAGAGAGATCAGAATAGAGGAAAGGGAGGAAGGAGAAAAGGAAAAGGAGAAATACTGGCCAAATTATATTGTGTGCATGTATGAATATGTAACAAAGCCCATCATATGTACAACTATAATGCCCCAATAAAAAATGTGAGCCTGCACAGTGTCGCACATCTGTAATCCCAGTGGTTCAAGAAGCTGAGGCAGGAGGAACAGAAGTTCGAAGCTGGTCTCAGCAACTTAGTGAGACCATGAACAAATTATTAAGACCCTACCTCTAAATAAAATATATATTTTTAAAAAGGGTTAGGGATGTGGCTCAGTGGTTAAGTACCCCTGGGTTCAATCCCTGGTATTAAAAAAAAAAAAGTGGAAACATTTTTTAAAAATAAAAAACTCGTGTTTATTGACAAGTTTTGAGAGTTCTTTATTTACGTTTTTGCTGGATATGGGATTTACAAATACTTTCTCCACCCTAGCTTATCTTTCATTTTCTTTCACAGCATAAAACTCTTTAGTATTGGTGTATTCCAATTTATCCGGTTTTTGTTGTTGCTGTTGTTGTTTTTCATGGTGGTTTTAGTATCATACCTAAGAACTCTTATCCTAACCTGAGGTCATGAGTACTTTCTTCTAAGAGTGTTACAGTTTTTTAAAAAATTATATTAAAATCTATGACCCATTTCTTTCTTTCTTTCTTTTTTCTTTTTTTGTGGTGCCAGGGATTGAACCTAGGGCCTTGGGCATGCAAGGCAAGCATTCTACCAACTGAGCTATGTTCCTAGCCCAGTCTGTAACCCATTTCTAAGCATATTAAGGTATACATTCATCGAGGATCCATTATTTTGTATCTGGATGTCCAATTATTCAAGCATCACAGGTTGAAGGACTTAACTCTTTTGAATTGCCCTTGTGCCTCTACCAAAAGTCAAATGATCAGAGCTGGGGATATAGCTCAGTGGTAGAGCACTTGCCTTACATGTACAAGGCACCTGGTTTAATTCCCATCGTTGCAAAAAAAAAAAAAAAGAAAAATCAAATGATCACATCAGCTGAGTCTATTTCTAGACTCTAATCTGTTCTTCAGTACCTATCTATTTGCTAATATCATATTGTATTGATTACTAGAGCTTTAATAAAAATCCTGCAGCATAAGTCCTCCAACTTTGTTCTTTTTTAGACTTGCTTTGGCTGTTCTAGTTCCTTTGCCTTTCCACTATAAATTTTAAAACCAGCTATGTACCTATAAAAACACGAATTTTGACTAGAATTTTGATTGGAACACATTAAATTTATAGATCCATTTAAGGTTGACTCCCTAAATACTTCCAACCAYAGAAATGGTATTTCTCTTCATTTACTTAGGTCTTCTTCAACATTTTGCACATATAGATCCTCTACATATTTGTTATATTTATATTAAGCATTATATTTTTGGAGCTATTGTAAATAGTACTATTTTTAAATTCTTGGTTTTCAATTATTCATTACTAGTATACAGAAATATGAAAGTTTAAAATTTTATTTATTTATTTTTTTACTTGTAGTTGGACAYAATACCTTTATTTTTACTTATATTTATGGGGTACTGAGGATCAAACCCAGGGCCTAGTGCATGCTAGGCGAGAGCTCTACCATTGAGCCACAACCCCAGCCTGAAAGTTTTAAATTTTACTGGTTCTTTTTAGTTATACATGACACTGAAATTTATTTTGATATAATTTTAAAAAATATTCATTTTGATATAATTAAAAATATATATATATCAAAATGAATTTATATAAAATATATCTTATTTTAATTAGGAACCCATTTTTATGGATATGCACAAGGGTGGGCATTCACTATGGTATAGTAATACATGTACACAGGAAAATTATTAGAAATAAAATGTTTTTTTCTTTTTATTTAATTTTTTTCAGTTGGCAATGGACCTTTTTTTATTTATTTATATGCGGTGCTGAGAATTGAACCCAGGACCTACACATGCCAGGCAACTGCTCTACACTGAGCCACAACACCAGCCCAGAAATATGTTAATTTTTTGGTGTTGTTGGTTTTTTGGTCTACTTGTTCTACAACTATAGAAAAGAGTAATGTTGACATCTTCAACTTTAATTTTGGGTTAGTTTCTCCTTTCAGCCTTCTTAATTTTCTTCATGCATTTTGAAATTCTACTGGTAAGTATACATACTTTTATGACTGTTACATAACCGTGGTGAATTGAGCCTTTTATTGTTATGCAGTGTCTCTCTTTGTTCCTGATAATTTTCTATGATCTGAAGTCTACTTTGGTATTTATACTTTTTTTTTTCACTTGCTTCTCTCTTCCACAAGTCTCTTTCATTATTAGGCTATGTTCAGATTTCCATTTTATCTTTGTATCTTTCTACTTTATCTCAACAATTTTTTTCTTGGTTGCTATAGGGATTATAATGTACATATTTAACCTTTCACAGTCTATTCAGAGTATTTTTGCCAAAGTAAATGTCGAATAGAACTTTATAAGAAAATAAGTCTTTTTACCCTCTTCCTTTATATTGTAGTTTTCACAAATATTATACCAACATACTTTGTCAAAAAGTAATTTATCTAGGATCGTGAGTTCAAAGCCAGCCTCAGCAAAAAGCAAGGCACTAAGTAACTCAGTGAGACCCTCTCTAAATAAAATACAAAATAGGGCTGCAGATGTACCTCAGTGGTCGAGTACCTGAGTTCAATCCCTGGTACCAAAAAAATAATTTATTCAAATATTTACTATTTTTGCAGCTTTTCATTTCTGAGGTCCTAAGATTCCCTGTTGTATTATTTTTCTTTAACCTGAAGAACTATCTTTAGTATTTCTTCTAGAACAAGTCTTGTGACAAATTCTCTAAAATGTCCTATATATAACATTGTCTTTATTTTACCTTCATTCCTAGAGAATTATTTTTATTAAATATGAAATTCTAAGGTGACGAATTTTCTCTGAGGACTAAAAAAATGTTACTCTTCTGTTTTCTTATTTCCAAGGGTTTTGTTGTTGTTATTTGTTTTGGTAGCAGGGATTAAACCCAGGGATGCTTAACCACTGAGCCATATCCACAGTCCTTTTTTATTTTTTATTTTGAGATAGGGTCTCCCTAAGTTGCTTAGGGCCTCACTAAGTTGCTGAGGCTGGTCTCGAACTTGCAATCCTCCTGCCTCAGTCTCCCAAGTTGTGAGAATTATAGGCATGCACCACTGTACCACTCCATGTTTTTTTGTTTTGAATATTTATTTTATTTTTATGTGGTGCTGAGGATCAAACCCAGGGCCTTGCACATGCTAGGCAAGCACTCTATTGCTGAGCCACAATCACAGCCCCCACTCCATAGTTTTTGATGAGAAATGTGTAGTAATTTTAATCTTTGTTCCCTAGTTACAATGTTTATCTCTGGTTGCTTTCAAGGTTTTTTTCTTTTTTAAAATATTTAATTTTTAGTTGTAGCTGGACACAATACCTTTAGTGTGTGTGTATGTGTGTGTGTATATATATATATATATACATGTATTTATTTATTTATTTATTTATTTATGTTTATCTCTGGCTGCTTTCAAGGTTTTTTCTTTTTTTGTTGTTTTTTAAATATTATTTTACAGTTGTAGTTAGACACAATACCTTTATTGTGTGTGTATGTATGAATGTATGTATGTATTTATCGATTTACTTATTTACATATTTATTTATATGTGGTGCTGAGGATCAAACCCAGGGCCTCGCACAAACATTCTACAGCTAAGCCACAATCCCAGCCCTGGTTTTTTATTTATTTGTTTGTTTGTTTGTTTTTGTGGTGCTGGGGATTGAAGCCAGGGCCTTGTGCATATGAGGTATGCACTCTACCAACTGAGCTGTATCCTTTTTTTATGTTCTTATTAGTGTATTATACATAAGAGTGGGGTTTAGGGCTGGGTGGTAAGCTCAGTGGTAAAGTGCTTGCCTAGCACAGGTAAGGCCCTAGATTCAATTCTCAGTACCATACAAAAACAACAGATAAAATAAAGTTAAAATAAAGATAAAATAAAGTTAAATTCTCAAAAAAAAAAAAAAAAAGGAAGACTAGGGCTCATTTTGACATATACGTACATGCATGGAATATAATTTGCTTCAGTTTGTTCCTTGGTACTTCCACTTTTCCTTCTTCCCTTCCTCCCCCTTTTCACTTCCTCTGTTCTACTGGTCTTCCTTCTATTCATTTTTTTTTTCAATTGGTGCTTTAAAGATTTTTTTTCTAAGTTTTCAGCAAGGATTTTGATGTGTCTGAAAGTAGTCTTCTCTGATTTTATTCTCTTTGATATTGTTGAAAATGTAAATTTTTCTGTGATCAAATTTGTAAAGCTATCAGTCTTATTTTTTCAAATATTTTTCTGCACAAATCTCATGCTCCTCTCCTTCTAGGATTACGATGACAAGAATGTCAGAACGTTTGATAATGTTCTTTAAACTCTGTTCAGTATTTTTCTCAAATCTTTTTTTTTTCTTTCTCTTACTCAGAGAAAATAATGTCTACTGCTCTATACTTAAGCTTATACTCTTCTTGTCACCTCCATTTGCTCATTCAAATTTTCTATTTTTTTATTTAGTCTTGTGTTCTCTGTATCATATCATTTTTACTTTTTAAATTAAATATTTATTTATTAGTTGTAGTTAGAAACAATATTATTTCATTTATTTTTATGTGGTGCTGAGGTTCGAACCCAGGGCCTTGCACATGGCTAGGCAAACACTTTACCGCTGAGCCACAACTCCAGCCCCAATAACATTTTTACCTTTAACTCAACATTAAGAGTGCACTGAGCTGGGATCGGAGCTCAGTGGCAAAATGCTTGCCTAGCACATATGAGGCACTAAGTTCAATCCTCAGCACCACATATAACTAAAAATAAATAAATAAATAAATATTTTTTTTTTAAAAAAGATGATTACAGTTGAAATGGAAAGCATATTATATTGAAAAGCATTGGTGGGGCTGGGGATGTGGCTCAAGCGGTAGTACGCTCGCCTGGCATGCATGCGGCCTGGGTTCGATCCTTAGCACCACATATTAAAAAAAAGATGTTGTGTCCACCGAAAAACTAAAAAATAAATATTAAAAAAATTCTCTCTCTCTCTCTCTCACACACACACACACACACACACATATATTAAAAAAAAAAAAGGTAAAAAAAAAAAAAAAAGAAAAGCATTGGTGGGTCAGAAATGTAGCCCAAGGGTAGAATGCTTTTTCAGCATGTATGAAACCATACGTTCAATCCCTAGCATCACAAAAAATGAGCATTATAAAATGGATCTGGAGTGAGAYTCTAAGCTGCTAACTTTTTTGTCCTTGTTTCCTCACCTACAAAATAACCAATACTGTGCTAGTAATGAGGTTCTCTTCATCACTAACTATGCATTACTTACTCTTTCAATCTGTTTTTCCATTTCTTTATGTTGTTCAAGATGAATTTTCTTTGCTTTTTCAAAGGCTAAGCAAATTTTCTCATGCTCTGTATTGATATTGGTTTCTAGACTCCTTATCTTTTCATTCTTTTCCTAGAAATATAAAACAGGTTTAAAATATAACTAAGCCAGGTACAGTGACACACTATGTAATTCCAGTGGCTCGGGAGGCTGAGGCAGGAGGATCACGAATTCAAAGCCAGCCTTAGCACTGGCAAGGTGCTAAGCAACTCAGTGAAACCTTGTCTCTAAATAAAATATAAAACATGGCTAGGGATGTGGCTCAGCGGTCGAGTGCCCCTGAATTAAATCCCTAATACCACACCTCAAAAGAAGCATATTAAAAAACTACTATTTTAATTTTATTAAGATAAAAATGACAAAACTTGAGGGGCTGAGGTTGTGGTTCAGTGATAGAGCGCTCGCCTAGCATGTGCAAGGCCCTGTGTTCGATCCTCAGCACCACAGAAAAATAAATAAATAAATAAAGGCATTGTATAAAAAAAAAAAAAAAAGACAAAACTTGAATAACAACTTGTTGTATTAGCCTATTAACTTGAAAATACAGAAACAAACAAACAAAAGAATGACAAGAAGTTCAGTAGAATTTTTAGTTTCCTACTTAGTATGTTTTATAGTAATGATACAAAAACAAACAAGCTATCACCAGTACCTAAAAGTCAGAGTAAACTTGTAGCAAAAAGGTAAATTTTACCATAAGTTCCTGTTCAAGTTCTGCATTTTTTGCAGCAGCTGATGAATAAGCAACTATTTTTTCTTCTAACTGTTTCTCTAGAGTTAAAAGCTGAGAGCATTTCTTTGTCATCTGAAAATACAATAAAATATAAAATTAGTTTTTTAAGAATATACATCCTAAAATCAAATACTTGCTCCTCTTTTTGAAGTTTAAATACATTGTCTAGATAAATAGGGCAAATTTATGGTAATAAACAATTAAGGCACAAAGTGAATAACCTTTTAATTCATGTAATTATTAAAACAAGTGACAATTTAGAAAAAAATAAATAGTGTAGGGTTGAGGCAGTAGCTCAGCGGCAGAGCACTTACCCAGCATGTGTGAGGCACTGGGTTTGATCCTCAGCAATGCATAAAAAAATAAATAAATAAAGGCATTCTGTCCATCTACAACTACAAAAAAAATTTTAAAAAAAATAGTGAAAGGAAGCCAGGCATATCATATCACTCCTTCCATTAGGAAATACATAAGTAATTTAATTTGCATCCTAATCCTTTTTTTCTTTTTTTTTTTTCTTTTCCTTGCACTATTGGGGACTGAATTCAGAGGTCTCTACCTTTTCCTAACCCATTTTTTTAAAAGTAGTTCTTACAGATTGAAATTAATATTGCAAAACGTTAACACCAGTTATTTCTGGTGGTAGAATTATCAATGTTTATTTTCTTCTTTTTCTGTTTCTGAATTTTAATGTTCAACAAGACTATTCTGTTATTTTTTTTTAAGTTATTAATCTCAGTACTTGAGAATTTTCTAAGTGGTAGCCTGTAATTATAGACTAAATCTCCTTTTCAATTATTAACTGAAGTTCCTATTTTACAAGTCTTTTCCATGGACTTGACTATAAACATTAAGACACAAAATTAGACATTTAAAAAACATCCTTGGGCTGAGGCTGTAGCTCAGTGGTAGAGAGCTTGTCTTGCATGCATGAGGCCCTGGGTCGATTCTCAGCACCACATAAAAACAAATAAATGAAAATAAAGATATTGTATCCATCTACAACTAAAAAATTTTTTTWAAAAAAATCCTATGGGGCCTGGAGTTGTGGATCAGCGGTAGAGTGCTTGCCTCATGCATGCAGGGCCCTGGGTTCAATCCTCAGCACTACATAATAAAATAAAGAAAATAAAGGTATTGTGTCCAACTACAACTAAAAAATAAATATTAAAAAAAAAAATCCTGGGCTGGGGATGTGGCGGTGGCGCGTTCGCCTAGCACGCGCGGGGTGCTGGGTTCGGTCCTCAACACCACATAAAAATAAAAGATATTGTGTCCACCTAAAAAAACTAAAAAATAAATTTTAAAAAAAATCACAGGCTTCATCCGTAAGCCTGAAGGTTGAGTATATAATATATACCATGTAATCCTGGTCTGCAATTACCTAGTGAGGCATCCTTATCCTTTCCTCAGTGAAAATCAAGATCAGATATTCATAAAACATTTCAGAATACAATCCGTRGTATATCTATATCAGATTCACATGCAGTTTTTTAAAAAATGTAAATTTCTGAGCCATACCCAAAGCCTGCTGAATCAAAATTGTTAGAATAGTACCCAGAAATGTACATGTTTGAGAGGCTTCCTAGGTGGCTTTATTATGGGCCAAGCTATAATGACCAAACAAGACTCCATTTTACCTTAAGACTCCATGTTGTGTCTTCTCTCATGGGAAAACCCCACCTCTGAACCCACCAACGCTTGCTTAGCATAGCATACTGGCAACACAATGGTAAAACTGTTCTTTCTGTCCTTATATACTAAACTTGTGCAATGTACCATAACTGCATAGAATGTTTGTCTAGACGTTAGTAACCATTCTTTAAATTGTATTCAACTAGGGTCGTTTTGACCCACTTTCCCATCTGCTTATGATTTTAGACCTCATGATTTTGTTTGTGGTCAGGAATCATAGCCACAACCACTTACGATAAATGTACTGATATGCTTTATTTGTGGTTTTGAACTATAAAAGATTCGCTCTAATCCCTTTAGGGATTAGAGGAGTGCAGACTTGCAGTCTGCCTTTTTGCTGGTGAATAAAGGTTCCATCTCCTGTTTTGAAACTGACTCAGTCATTGATTACAATCTTACCATAATAGTTCTGATGTTTGCTAAAATTTTAAATCCTCTACCACTTCTTTTCTTTCAACTACATAATCCAAATTCTCTTCTTCTTTTTTTAAAAAAAAAATTTTATAGTTGTAAACGGACAGTATGCTTTATTTATTTAGTTTTTTATGTGGTGCTAAGGATTGAACTCAAGTGCCTCACACATGCTTGGCAAGCACTATAGCCCCAGACCCCAAATTCTCTTCTTGTAAATTTGCATTTACCTTGCCAACTTATACTGTGGAAGAAATAATAAACTGCAATGCAGTATTAGTTTCACCAAATTTAGGACCTTTTAGCCAATAGGGAGCAGTTCCTATTTTAATTTAAGTTAAAATAACATGTTTCCAAATATAATTTCTAAAATAGCTTAAAGCTTGGCACAGTGGCACATGCCTATAATCAAGAGGCATGGTTGAAGGGGACTCAGAGGGTGAGGCAGTAGAATCACAGGTTCAAGGCCAGCCTCAGCAACTTAGCGATACTGTTTCTAACTAAGAAATTAAAAAGGCTGGGGATGGAGCTCAGTGTTAAAGTACCCCTGGGTTCAATCCCCAATATATATCTATGTGGTACCATTTTGCAAAATTTATAAATCTAGACTTAAATTGTTACAAAATCCCACAAGGTATTTTCTATCTTCAAACTTAGTACATGTGCCCAGCTAATTTGAAGCTTACTTCACTTTCTAGTTTGGTAGAGTTTGAAGCTTTCTCTAGAAGCTCCTCTTGAATCAGTTGAAATTGACTAGTTCTGTGAGCCATGTTAACCTTCAGATCAGAATTCTCAGCTTCTATTTGCATCAGCTTAGTACGTAATTCTTCTATTCCAGTAGCAAGTCTTTGCCTTTCTCTTTCATATTGCTTGTTCATAGTCTGTTGATTGCGGTCTTTTATAATTTCTGTTGATAAACACAAAAGGAAAAATTTTCTGGATAAAACTTCAAGTACAAAAATAAATATAAATAGTTGAAATATTTAACCATAAAGTTTAGTTTCTGATTTAAAGAATAAAAAGGATGTAGAAGGAGACATGCAATAAGGAAATGGTAAATAAAGTTACACCTCTAGTGCTTTCTATTTTTTATTTTGAGAAAGAGTCTCACGAAGTTGCATAAGTTCTCACTAAATTGCTAAGGTTGGCCTCAAACTTGCCATCCTCCTGCCTCAGCCTCCCAAGTCACAGGATTATAGGGTATGCCACTGCATCCAACCATTAAGAATATTTTTATGTACTATTTGTAGATACAGATTCAAAAGGTACACACAGTGAACCCTTTCTAGTCTTATATTCCTTACTTACAAACTAGCTGAAGAAAATACACTGAAATTTTAAAAACTACTAAGGTTTATTACAGGTAGCTTTCTGACTATGTCTTCTCTCCATTATAAACATTATAGCTTCTCCTACTCCACAATACCTGAATTTTCAAGAGCACTTTAAAAGGCAAAATGTAGGTGATTATATAAGAATACACATATGGAAACAAGGAGAGATACACTTTGCCCTCAAGAGTTGGATAAGAGGCTATTTCCCATCAATCCCCCATCTCCACAATATTTTACTTTCTAAGCTATCCATGTCATTGACTCTATTCTTAGATGTTAGACTATATGACACATTATATTTATCACTACCTATAATGACCACCATTCCCTCTGCTAATCATATCATTCTCTTCCCATTCTAATTACTTAGATACATAATTTTATGTCACTTCTAATGCTAACAGCCCTTTGTATTTAAAGATAGATTATGATATTTATTAATACCCAGGGCAAACGACCACTAAAAAATGTAAATGTATACAAAGAGTATAGTGTATGAATCAAGAGTGGAAATAAGACATGAGATGCTAAAATATACTTGAACCCCGAAAAAGGCAAAAAAATGAATAAAATGGAACATTAAAAAATGATAGATTAGACCCTCCAAATACCAATATTACATTAACTATAAGCAATCTAAACACCCCAATAAAATTCTACTTAAAACACAAAAACTGTCTGAATGGATATAAACGCAGGACCCAATTATATGCTTTTTTTTTAAATTTTATTTTATTAATTTTAGTCTTATTTTATTTATTTATATGTGGTGCTGAGGATGGAGCCCAGGGCCTCACACATGATAGGTGAGTGCTCGACCACTGAGCCACAACCCTAGTCCCCAATTCTATGCTTTCTATGAGAAACTCACTATCTATAAAGACACAAATTCAAAGGATGAAAAAAATGATTAAAAAGAAACCACCACTGAAGGGCCTATATTTATTTCAAACAAAGCAGCGTTCCTACAAGAAGTATTACTAAGAACTAAATGAGACATTTAATATAATAAAAGGGTCTATTCAAGAAGAAGGTATAACAATCTCAAATAATATGTACATAATATGTTCAAAATACAAGAAGCAACAATTGACAGAATTGAAAGGATAAATAAACACACATACAGATATATCTGAAGATTTCAATACTAGTCTCTCAGTAATTGACAGAATAAATACACAGAAAATCCTTAGGGATAAAGAAAACTTAAATACAACCTTACGATTGATAGTAAAAAAAAATCCCACCCAACAATCACAGAATAAACAATTTTTCAAGAGCAGTTAGAACACTAAGACAGACCACATGCCAGCCAATAAACATAGTCTCAAAGTACTTTCTTCTTTTTTGTTTTTAAATTTATTTATTTATTCTGATTTGTTATATAGGACAATAGAATGCATTTCAATTAATAGTACACATATATAACACAATTTTTCATGTCTGGTTTTACACAAAGTAGAGTCACACCATTCGTGTCTTCATATATGTACTTAGGGTGATGATGTCCATTTCATTCCACCGTCTTTCCTACGCCCCTGGCTTCTTCCCTTCTCTTCCCTCCCCTCTGCCCTATCTAAAGTTTCCTCCCATGCTACCCACTAACCCCATCCCCATTATGGATCAGCATCCTCATATCAGAGAAAACATTCAGCATTTGGTTTTTTGGGATTGGCTTACTCCACTTAGCATAATATTCTCAACTCCATTCATTTACCTGCAAATGCCATGATTTTATTCTTTTTTAATGCTGAGTAATAGTCCATTGCATATTCAAAGTACTTTCAAAAAATAAAATCAAGGCTGAGGGGGTASCTCAGTGGTAAAGCATGTGCTCAGCATACATGAAACCATGGGAATGGGAGTGAGAGGAGGAGGAGGAGGAGGAGAAGGAGGAGGAGGAGGAGGAGAGCCTTTATAAGTAATGTGAGAAGGAATAAAAAGAATTCTGATGGAAATGTTATGTCTTGATTGTGGTGATAGTACCGAGAGTATAAACAAGTTAAAAAAAAAACACATTTGTAGCAAAACTTACCAAAATTTTATATTTAAAATGAGCACATCTTATTGGATTTTATTAAATTTTATTTCAATAATATATTTGGTTTTTTGGTACCGAGGATTGAATTCAGGGGCACTCGACCACTGAACCACAAGCTATTTTGTATTTTATTTAGATGCTTAGCACCTCACATTTGCTGAGGCTGGCTTTAAACTCATGATTAGCCTCAGCCTCCCAAGCCACTGGGATTACAAGCGTGCACCACCATGCCCAGCTCATTAATATACATTTTAAAAATATAATGCGAAGTCCAAAATTTCTGAAATAATTTGCTCTCTTACCAGAACATAATTACTCATAACAAATTATCAAGTGTGTTTAACAGAAACCAAACAGCTGTTAATTTGTTTCTTTTGTTTGTTTTCTGTGGAACTGGGAGTTGAACTTAGTGTCTCATACATATTAGGCAAGCACTCTATTGCTGAACTACATCCCAAGGCTTTATGTTTTAAATTTTGAGACAGGGTCTTACTAAGTTGCTGAGGTTGGCCTCAAAGTTGTAATCCTCCTACCTCAGGCTTCTGAGTAGCTGGATATAGGCATGTGCTACCACACCCAATTTAATGATAGTATTTTAAAGAAATAGATCAGCTATACACAATGGCACACATCTGTCATTCCAGCTACTTAGAGTCAGGAGAATCACCAGTTTGAGGCTAGCCTCAACAACCTAGCAAGACATTGCCCCAAAATTAAAACTAAAAAGGGCTGGAGACATGGCTCACTGGTAGAATAACCCTGGAATTAATCCCCAGTACTGTAGTATTTCAGTCAATAGAATAAAATAAAAYAGTATTGCCAAGAACTCTGATTACGATTTATTAAATAATTCAACATTATATACACAATGGAATATTACTCAGCAATAAAAGAAAATGAAATCATGGCATTTKCAGGTAAATAGAGCTAGAGAAGATAATGTGAAGTGAAGTTGGCCAATCCCTAAAATAAACAAATTCCGAATGCTTCCTCTGATATAAGGAGGCTGATTCATAGTGGGATCTAGTGCTCCCTAGGGGGAGCATGGAATAGACAAAATCTAAAGAGGGCAGAGGGGTGAGAGAGGAAGGGAGGGGGCATGGAGGTAGAAATAATAGTGGAATGTGATGGACATTACTATCCAAAGCACACACATGAAGACACGAATTGGTGTGAATATACTTTGTATACAACCACAGATATGAAAAATTGTGCTCTATATGTGTAATAAGAATCATAATGCATTCCACTGTCATATATAAATTTTAAAAATTAATTAAAAAATAATAATTCAATAATATATACTCACCAGCTTGACTACCACCTAGTTTTACAGGTTCTGTTTCTAAAGTAGTCAACTTGCCACTTTCTTGGCTATTCTTACAAATAATGTTCTGAGATAACTGGTTTGCAGTCAGATTTGCATGAAGCTTTTGAATCTCTGCCTCTTTTATTGCAAGCTTAATCCTGGCACAAAACAAAAGAATCCAATATGACAGTAATTCTGTAAAAAATATCTCATACTACTTTTCACCTTTCAAAGTGGTAAAATTTTAAAATTCTGATATTAGTTAACTCTTAGGCAGGATATAGAAACTTTTATAAAAAACAGTAGGATTATAAATTAGTTTAGCTACTTTCTAACTTGATTGAAACTAGTAAAATATAGATGACCTACAACCTAGAAATATGAGTTTTAGGAATATATTCTAGAGAAGCTCTCATATATATGTGTAGGGAGCCATGTATAAGGATTTTCTTTGTAACTATGTAATAGAAAAAGACTAGAAATAAGGTAATTATCAATAAAAGAATAGATAAATTGACACCATTCTAGAAAAAAATCCTAATTTAAAAAAAAATCCTAACTAACCACCCAAATCTATTCATGGATCAACCACTCTACCTATCCCAACATGGATGAATTTTTTAAAATGGGCATGGTGGGCATGTCTGGGCATGGTGGCACATGCTTTTATCCCACCAACTAAGGAGGCAGGAGGATCTAAGTTCAAGGCCCTAAGCAACTTAGTGAGACCCTGTCTCAAAATAAAAAAAACAAAAATGACTGGGGATATAAAGCACTCTTGGGTTCAATCCCCAGTACCAAATAAATATTTTAAAATGATGTTGAGTAGAAAAGCAAAACTGCAACTATAGAGTTCACTTTTATTTGTGTATAAGAGAAAAAAAATGTTCACAATATGGACAGAAAAATACACATCAAATTCATAATAATGGATAAGCAGGGGAAGAATTAGATAAGCAATAAGGATCAAAGGGTATTATCCATCCTGTAATGTTTTATTTTTTATTTAGAGAAACAGATTTGAAACAAATATCACAAAATATTAAGAAGAATCAAATCTTAGTTGTGGAATCAGTATTTGTTATAATACTCTCTAAACTTTTCCTTCTGTATTTTTTTTTTTTAATTATTTTATGTGGTGCTGAGGATCAAACCCAGGGCTTCGCTAGGCGAGTGCTCTACTGCTGAGCCACAATCCCAATCCTCTTTCTGTATTTTTTTWAAATTTTCTCAACTAAACACCTTCATTTAATTTCCAACAAAACCATTCTATTTGTTGTAAATTCAAAATATGAAAAACATACCTCAATTCTGAAATCACCAATTTATTTGCCTCACAGCAGCCAATGCAATTGTCTTCTTTGTTTGACAAACTACTCATCTGGTGCTTAGAAATGGATGATTTAAAACCAAGTATTTCTCTTTTTAACTACAAGTTTAAAAAACAAATGTTTGTAAATTGTAATACACATGTGGATGCCATTGTTTTCTTATTCAGAACTCTTTAAGTTTGAAAAATTGTCTAAATTTAATAGAAGCAACCTAATGTCCATCAACAGGAAAATGTACAAGTACAATAGGAAACATTTGGTTAATGGAAAACCTATAATTAATTCAGACAATTGGAAAAGTATACTAGTTAGATAAACTTGAGTTACATAAATTAATATGGTTACATTTTACAATACCAAGTAAAACAACAAATTCCATTGATACACAAAGTATTTTTAAAAATATACTAAGAAGGGCTGGGGTTGTGGCTCAGCAGTAGAGCATTCACCTAGCATGTACAAGACCCTGGGTTCAATCCTCAGCACCACATAAAAATAAATACATAAATAAAATAAAGGTATTGTGTCCAACTACAAGTAAATAAACACTTAAATATGTGTGTGTGTGTGTGTGTGTGTGTGTGTGTGTGTGTGTGTATAGGTAGATGGATAGAGAGAGAAAAATGTATGGGCATGGTGGTGCACGCCTGTAATCCCAGCAGCTCTGGTGGCTGAGGCAGGAGGATCACAAGTTCAAGGCAAGACTCAGGAATTTAGCAAGGCCCTAAGCAACTTAGTGAGACCCTGTCTCAAAACAAAAACTAAAAAGAACTGGGAATGTAACTTGGATCCTGGGTTCAATCCCAAGTACCAAAAAAAAAAAAAAAAAGAGAGAGAGAGAGAACAACATATGTATTTATATAGAAATTTATATGTGGCAACATTTAAATTATGGATGAAAAGGATACAAAAGAATTTCAGAATAGTTGCTACTTTTGTGTTTAGAGGGAGAATAGAGCTGACAAAGTACATATAAAGGTTTTACCTATAAAATTTATTCTAAAAACATTTGAAGTTGATAGAGCAATGTGTCCCATATTTTGCAAATGCTAAGCTACATTACAAATACTAAGCTAATTACACACTCTAGAAGTAAAAAAGTTCACTTTTTCAAACTATATCATCCTTAGCACTTCATGAAACATAGCATCAAGTATATATTATCATATCAACTTCATAGTCATATATCTAATAATTCTTAACTCTAAGCACATATGAAAATTTTAATTTAAAATGAAAGTTATCTGTATATGATTACTTTCTAATTTCAAAAGCAAACATTAGATTAAAAATCCTAGCGCTGGCGTGGTGGCTCAGAGGTAGAGCGCACGCCTACCATGCATGAGCCACTGGGTTCGATCCTCAGCACTATATAAAAATAAAATAAAGATATTGTGTCCACCTACAACTAAAGAAAAAATGTTTGAAAAAATCCTAGCAAATAATTAATATCTAATACAGGGCCTCTCAAATACTCAGCAAGCACTCTACCACTGAGTTACACCCCCAAACCAGTTCTATGTCATTCTCATAACTACATTTAAAGTTGCTAAACATTAGCCATTGAGGAAATGAAAATGTAAACCACAGTGTGATACTACTTCATACCCACTAAGCAAAATGACAATGACAAGTGCTGACAGGCATGTAGAAAAACAGGAACTCTCATATACTGCTGGTGAAAATGTAAAACAGTGTAGCCATTTTGGAAAACAATTTGGCATAAATTTACCACATGACCCAGCAATTCTATTCTTGGATATCTACCAAAGAGCAATAAAAACATGACAAAGACTTCTATGAAAATGTTCACAGCAGCATTATTCATAATAGCCTAAAAGTAGAAATAATCCAAATGTCCATTAATTGGTAAACAGATGAAATGAAATACTATTCAGAAATAAATAAGAAATGAAAAACTGATATGTACAACATGAATGAACCTCAAAAATATTAAAAATATAAAATAATAGGAAAAATATGTGCAAAAGACCACATATTTTTACGTTTTCATTCTTCAAAACAGCCAGAAAGGGGGCTGGGGATGTGGCTCAAGTGGTAGCGCGCTCGCCTGGCATGCACGCGGCCCGGGTTGGATCCTCAGCACCATATACAAACAATAACTAACAATAACTAATAATAACTAGCAATAACTAGTGTCCACCGATAACTAAAAAATAAATATTAAAAATTCTCTCTCTCTCTCTCTCTCTCTCTCTCTCGCTTAAAAAAAAAAAA